CCCAAAAATTCAAATAATGAAGAAAACATCTTGAAATACCTCCTGGTATCTAACTTGCATTATTTCACTTTACTGTACAAGTTATTATTAAATAAAAAGAATTCATGTGACGAGTGATTCCAAACCAGCAGCGTTCCTCAGGACATACATTTTAGAGATATAATTAATTAAATATAATATTTTTAAACATACAGGTATCATATAGTTAATTTAATAATAACATAATTAATGGAGGGCGTAGTGCATGCAGTTTTCTCATAACTGACTGCTTTTATCCTGAAAACACAAAGTTCAATAGTAGAGGATGTGGTGTAATTGTAGTTGCTGTAATATGTAAAAAATCTGTAATACTAAGGAAAACTTAAAAGTTGCATTAAGTAAAATGTCCCATTATATCCTGCAAAAACAGAAGAAAGTGATATTTGTGGGCAGGATATTACTTGCTTGTAGTCTAAAATGCACTACGGGGTTTCCATCCCAGTCCTGGCAACCCCACACTTTGTGCTTTGTCTTGTTGAGCAGACCTGATTCAACTCCTTAGCTACTGAACACGTGAAATGTGAAGAGCATTGGGACTGGGACTGGACCCTGCATTAATAGCTATAAACATTGCAGATTTGAAAGCAGTGGGTTTTTTTTTTTGTTGTTTTAATTGTAAAAATGAGTGAAATATAAACGTATTACACTTTACACGTTCAGTTGCTTTGGATGCTTTTGATCTGTGTATCTTCTTCAGGCATGTCCACCAACCTGCTCCTGCATTGTATTTCACCTTTTACATGAGTTACGGTGTGAATTACACACAGTGGCGATAGTCAACACACTGAATGAATTTTTCAGAGCCGTATGGGCCGCGTTTCAGCGCTCCAAATCCATTCACACCTCTTTTCTACTAACTGCCTTTAATTAGGTTTCTGTTGTGGGGTCGAGTTGCAGGAGATGACGCAGGCAGACATAAGAACTCGGCTACTTGACTGCATCTGAGCAGTTGAATGAAACTTGCCGTCCTGTCTGTGTTCAAGGGGAGGGATCATGATCTTGCGAGACCCTGGGCACATTTTTGTTCAGATTTAAATCATGATTTCTTGTCTTTTTTTCTTTTTATTCCATGGAAGGGTAAACACTAATACCACTTGTCGCACCATCTAAAACATCCTTTCTGAATGGCAACAAAATTTAATGAGTCAATAATAGTACAAAACTTGAGAGACCTGAGAACAGATAGCATTAACTGTTACATTTAATTTTCTTGTGGAGTCCCACAAGGTTCAGTTTTTGGGCCTTTTCTCTTTGTACATGTTATTTCGAAGTAATGTCATCAGGAAACAACAATTTTCATAGCTATTCTAATGACATGCATTTATACAGTTCCATTTCTTCTGAATACAATAAATTTGAATAGATGTGTCATTTGTGTGGCAGTGTGAACAGCAAAAAACGCATTGAATCTGACATTTTCAATTCCGATTTAAAGCGCTTTCATATGTGATACTGAAATCCGATACGTATCCGATCTGCGGCAATGCGACTCTGTCTGAACAGCCAGATCGGAATTCATACGACTTTTACGTCAATCCAACTCAACATTCGTCATAGTTTCGCGCTGCTGAGACTCAATAATAAATATTTAGTCTGATGTTTCTGTACCAAAACATTAGAAGAGACTCATCGCAGCCGCTCCGTGTTCAAACGAAACGGCCGAACGCGGCCGGAGGAGACCGAGGCTGCAGCGTCATCCGAGGACACGAACCAAAGACGTGGCCGTGGCCAAATAACGAGCCCTTTTTTTCGGCGAACTCGAACACACTGTGGGTGATGAGTCCAGCTGTCAACCACTGGAACTTTAGGATCGCTCCTGTGATGCTGGTGAAGACGACACTGAAAGCTCCGGGAGCGACTGGTGTTCGCTGGCCGTCATGATTGTTTACCTGTGGATGAGCCGCCACGTGAAGCATTGTTCTTATGCGCATGCGGGTCGGTTTAGGAGCTGATCTGTTCAGACTGTTGTCGCATACAGATCGCATTTAAAAGATAATGTGAACAGCCAAACAAAAAAATCAGATTTGGTGAGAAAATCAGATTTGGGCCACTTCTACCTGCTGTGTAAACGTAGCCTTAGTGGCTGAGTTGCTGTGGTTTCTAAACACTTCCACTTTTCAATAATACCACTCACAGCTGATCGTGGAATATCTAGAAGGAAAGAAATTGTGTAAACTGACTTGTTACAATGGTGGCATCCTGTTACTGTACGATGCACAAATTCAGTGGGTTTGTGAAGGCAGACTGCATGGCTAGGTGCTTGATTTGACACCTGTGGCAATGGGACTGAAAGAAACACTGAATTCAATGATTGAGGGCTGTGTTCCAATACTTTTGTCCATATAGTGTATAACAAGGCGGCTGACTACTTTTGCCTAGTGTAAAGACCAGCCCTATTTGGGGCTTAATAGACCACTGTAGTCGTGTGTCATTCTGTAGTCCTCGTTACGCCCATATTAGGAACTCCAGGTCTAAGCTCCATTCCTCTACGGCCAGAATGAGTAGGGCTTTCGAAAAATCGCCTCTATCGCACCTTGTATTAAATAAAAATGTTCAGAACCCGATACATTTTGTCCTGTGTACATTTTTCTCCCGAAAACCACTGGATCCTCCGAATTACGAGGTCGTTAAAGAGCTATAATACTAATATTGCTACATGTGAGCTAAAGCTACTGCGCATCAATTTGATGTCAATAAGCTACACGAAAGTAAGGCGGGCTGTGGCGGTGCTCTTACCAGCTGTGCTACCTTATTGAAATGTTCTACCGTAGCGCATATTCACAGGTATACCAGTAAATAAAACCTCTAGGTGAGATATTTTGATAGGCTAAAACTCCTTATCAAAAACTACTACCCGTGTTAAAACTACGAGCCTGAATTTAGCTTCTTTTATTCGCCAGCTTTTTGTTTAAATGTCCCTGTTCCACCTTAAATGGTGCAGCAGCTGTGACTAGCTATCACAAACATTAGCAAACGAGACAAAATACTGACCTGTTTGTTCGGTGAAACAGCAAAAATAAGTCAATGTTACTCAGCTGTTGAGCGGAAATAGAGAAACTTCATATCATGCCTTTCAACCCTCCATGAAGCTGAAGTCAGCCTCTTTTCCGGCAGCTGCTTGTTCGAATTTTCCAATTCCACCTTAAATGGCGCAGCTGTTCAGAACGTGCCTGCTGCACCATTTAAGGTGGAACGGGAAATGTCGAACAAAAAGCTGGCGAATGTTCTGAGAAAATGTCCTCAGAAAAATGTTACCAGCATTAAAATAATAATTAGGATATTCTGATAGCCGAAATCAGTTTATCAGGGGGTGAGCAGTGATATTAAGCTGAGTCTGTACTGGATTAGCCTGGGTGCAGGTACGTTTGTAGATCTTTTCAAATCAACCTAAAAGGAAAGATCTATCGTGTTTCAGTGAGCATCAGATGAAGAATACAAAACTACAGGGCAACCTGCTGATTTTGTTCTGACTTCTTTTTGTCTGCCCTCAGTCTTTAAATGGAAGTGTACACTGAGAAAACCTGCTTAAGGAGACTGTCAGTCTAATGACGTGAATTCAGTGCGCAGTAGCTTTAGCTCACATGTAGCAATATTCATATTTCAACACTTTAATGACCTCGTAATTCGGAGGATCCAGTGTTATTCGAGAGAACAATGTTCATAGGACAAAACGTATTGGGTTCTGAACATTAATATTATTACATTATTAATTATTATATTATTATTATTTATTTAACACAGGGTGCGATAGAGGCGATTTTTTCGAAAACGCTATTCATTCTGGCCATGAGCTTAGACCCGGAGTTCCTAATATGGGCATGAGGACATGGCGCCGACTACAAAATGACGACATGACTACAGTGGTCTATAGCAGAGCCAGTTTATGAGGAGCCTGGCCACTTCCTATTCCCCCGTTATATCAAAAACAGGCCTGCTAAACAGCAGAGGGCGCCCGTGAGTGAGTCCTCAATGAATGGGAGTAAAAGGTGCTCAACAGCTAAAAACGAAAAGTTAAAATAGTTTCTAATCACTCACCCAGAACATTTCTTTAATTTTAGAAAGTAGAAGGATGTATTTCACTAAAAAAAACAAAGAAATCTCACCTATATATTTCCCTTTTTCTACAGCAAACGGGTTTTGGGCAGCAGAAGGCGGGCATTACTGCTAGAGCGTGATGATTGATTGGCGAGCGGAGCAGCTCATTGGCTGTTCGCGCTCACAGACGTCATGGACATACATGAGGTGCCGTTTTAAACTCCTTTAGCTCGAATTTAAAAGCTCTTAAAAATATAACAGCAGTGTTAAAATGTTTTATGATATTCAGTGTTCAGGAAATGATTGTATTCTTTTACATTAAAAATGTTTAAGCATTTATAAACTATGATTTTGCTCAAATGCTCCATATCAACCCATTCATTTTGGACTCACTCGGGAGCGCCTTCTAGCGTTTGAGAAACCTGGAAGACATTGCAGAGTGGTAATTCTCATCTCTACAAGTTCTCTGGTCTATAGTTTAGCACAGTGTCACTGAACTGAAAAATACTTGCTGTAAGCAGGGCTGCTAACCTCACAAAAAAAAATCCTTAAAGACATTGCGTAATACAAAGCAGTCAGTGTTGTCCAGTAGAAGGGTCAACGGTCATGCTTTAAGTCTCTGAAGCTCTTTAACCTCTTTACATTCTCACATTTATTTTTTAGTCAGTAAAGCAGTAACATCCACGGTTTTAATCTTCACCAACAGTACAGCTAAGCATTTAGTATTTCCCTTACAGAGTGACTCGATTGCTTGAGTGTGAACTGCCCAATCAGAGCACAGGGGGCGGGGCCTGTCGGAATACGGGTGGGAAACAAACAGCGCTGTTTGAGCGGATCACACAGCAGAGCAGAGCAGAGCGGCTATGGCTCCTCAGCAGAGCGCTTCTCTCAGCGCGGATGTGCTGAAGGAGGATTCATCCCACGTGTCTGCAGCGCGTCTGTCTTTGAAACGCGTCTAAATGACCTGATCTTGCTCGGCAATGTTATATGACAGAAGTGGAGTTTAACACGGACTTTGTTCTCTGAGAAAATGAAGCGCAGAGGATATTTATTCATCTTTACAGCGTGCACTGTTCTCGGTAAGCAGTTCAGAACAGTCTATATATTCTTCATGCATGTCTTTTCACTTTTTCACGTTTTTAAGCGTATTATTATTATTGTTATGTTTTTTATTCTCATTTTAATAGGAAAGTGTTTAATTGTATTTTTATTCTCTGTTTAAGCACAAAAATGTATTTTTAGTTCTGAAGTGTTACCTGTAACGTTTTTATTGTAATGTAAATTCAGTTTTAAAAAATATCTAATTTTTGAGTCTAATAGGTTCAGTATAGTACCAAAAAAGATTCTTGTAACAGTAGAACCAATATATAGTGTGATATATACATATATATGTATAATGTGATATATATATATATATATATATATATATATATATATATATATATATATATATATATGGTTTTATGCAAGTTTGTGTGCCCTTGTTTAAAGGACGTGTTGTTAGCACATCCTCTGTCCTCTACAGAGAACACACCTCTTCACATTTTTATTTGCTGAATTTAACATGTTTGAGGAAAGAAAACATAAAATATGGCCTATACAAATGTTATGGTTTATTTTTTTAAACTCAGCAAATAAATAGAAATTGTGCACAAAACATTTGCTGGACAAAAGCCATATTTAAATGTGTTACATCATTTACATCAAACATCATTTGGCCAAGGGTGTTCAAACTTTTGCACATGACTGTTTAACTACCGGCTTTACTAAAGAACTCCTGAGTCACCTACTTTAAGAGTGTAAATGTTTTTTTTTGTGTTATTTTTTGTATTTTTTCTGAGGTTCTTGTAATTGTAATTGTTGATGATGTTGTTAATTAATTCTGAAGCATTTCTTAATATGTTTATGACATTTTTAATCTTTTTCCCCTCTCAGGGCTTGCTAGCAGTGAGCCCAGAGTCCCAAATCGCTCAGCTCGTTCAGCACCCACCACCATCACCAGACGCAATGAGGCCACCTCCAGCACCGGTGAATTTGAGGAGGAAGTTGACGTACTGATAGAAAAAATACTGTCTTTGAAAAGTGCTGAACCCCAAGAGCAGGAGGAGATGAGTGTGAAGACTGGGCCCCACTCAGATCTCCATCCATCGCAGAGTAAACAGACCAGTAGAACGGGGCCTTCCAGCCGTGCTGCGACGAACGTGAACCTCAATACTTACTTGAACATGCTCAGCGGTTTATACTCCATCTATGAGCCAGTGCTGGTGGAAAGTTTCCTCCAGAACCTTCCTCAGGCTCTCGTTTGTGTGTTGGCAGACAGAACACAGTGTGGATGGCAAGCAGACTTAACAACGACACTGTCCTCCAGGTTGAGTGGACCGGTTCTTTCCCTGCTGTCATCCCTTAAATCTCAGACGTGTCCATCCACGTCCAGTAGCTCTCCAAGAATGGCGGACTCCACGCTGACTCAGTTAAGCGCATTTCAGGAACTGGTGACGGCTGCTTTGTCCTCAAATCTGCCCCTCTACCTCTCTGATAACTTCCTGTTGGCATGGAATAGTTTTATTGACTTAACCTTGCCACCAGTGGCCTCCTTCATTTCTGAATTCATGGTGAACTTTCTTCAAACATTTGTGGAATTCCTAACAGTTGGACTACAGATTGGGGTTGACATCCCTTCACTGGACCAGACTCAGCAGTGTCAGCAAGGTTTGTCATTTGTTTTGTTTGTTTGTTTGTTTTTAATGAAAAACAAAAATATTCCTTATATTAAAATGTGCTTTCAAAAAGGTTCTATATAGAACCATATACAACACATTCTCCATCATTCTGAAGAATCATTTCACCATGCAAAGAAACATTCAAACATGCAAATGGTTCTATATAGAACTCAGGGCTCGAAATTGAACCATTGCCTTTATTAAACAACCAGTGAAGAACCGTCTTTTTTAAGAGTGTAGTTTTATAAATGTTAAGGAACTATTTGACTGTTGAAATTCTCTTACTAGATAATTTAATGATCTGAATGACTGAATTTTTAGTTTACTGTTTCATTTGTTTATTTTCCTTGTTCCTTTTCTTTCTCCTCTTCTTCTTGGTACACAGGTGACCTAAAGCAGCTTCTGATGTGGTGAGTGTCAATGTGTGAAAGCTTTTCTGTCTCAGCATAGTAAAGTGTACTGTTCCATATTTGGCACTTTGAATTAGACCTTACAGAACACCACTTTTTTAAATTCCAACACGTTTACCAATATTGAAACTTTGGCCGATGCTGATACTAGTCCAATATTACTACTGAGCTGTAAAATGAGTGATGTTTAAATATATAACAGATATTTTCAACAGCACAGTTTGATTGGTTGAGAAGTGTTTTTTCACATAACTGCATCATTCCGCTGAGCACCAGCACAACTCACTTTCTGCTGCAGTTCTGTGACAGCAGAACAACAGAACAAACTAGAATTAGAGTACAATTTGGCAAACAAGATAGGCTGTGAAATGTTTTAACAAACAAAAATGACATTCAGGTTAATCTCGCAAATACTGAAAAAGCTGAACTGAACCTGATATTGTGTTTTGTTTTGTGGCTCTATCTGTAATGCAAAAGGCTGCTACTTTTTGGTGGAAGGAATTGCAAATATTTGCACATTTACAAAAATGTACACGTATTCATTGTATAAAAGCAAAAACACTCCCACTGTAACATTACCACATCATATTGTATTGTATTGTATTGCAGTACAACATGTTTATGTCATATTGTATTGATGCATTGTGATTAGCACATTAGCTTATGTTGAGAGTGTTAGATCAGGAGACTGTAAAGCACAAGTTGTTTCAAGCCCTGTACTTTTATGTTTAATGCTCTTAGAAACTGGAACTAAAACATTACCATTAATGTAAGGCACATTTTCAGCCATTCTTTAATTTTGCTGTATCAAAAGATTTGTTGAATCAAGATACCATTGTATTGTATCAAAACAAATTAGGAAATTTATAAATCGTTGCACCTCTAAGACAGGCTATCATGAAAGGAAAACAGGCCAAGTTTTAGTGGTGTAACAATATAATTGGCCCACAATTTGATTTGCGTGCTAAAACTGGATTCACAATTCAGTATTCTCATGATATTTTGATCCAAATTCGAATGAAGAAAAAAGTCATGTTGTTCCACAGCTTACTAATGACAATAGAGCTGGGAGGCTGGAGTGAGGATTGATTAGTGCTAATTGTTTGCAAACTTTGTTGCTCAAACAATGCAGTTGCATTAGAAGGTGCCATAAATAAAATGCTTGTTCTCCACAATGCACATTGTAAGAGTTTTGCCATATAAAATCACAGTGTCACAATGCATTGTTACACCGTTACCCAGTTTTGGTTTTAGATTTCATTCTTTGAAAGGTGTCTGCTAAAAAAAGGAGTAGAGTAGAGACTAGTAGGACCTTGGGTAAACATGGGTAAACTTAGTAGGAACTGAATGTAAATGGAGAATCTCCACTAACTGTGTAATTCAGTTAAAAATGCTTAATCCTTACCTGCTTTAAACAAAACTGGTGGCATCATTCAGGAAATACATATTCAGCAAATAAAAGACATCATCTGTACTGCTGAAACCGATGAACATGAACTGATTACATTTCTACAGAGATCTTTGTTTAACAAATACATCTGTTTTATATAGGGGACTGAACCACAATTTGAGCTGGTCCTTTGGAGACTCAATCCTGAACATGTTTTTGGCTCTTGATACAACTCCATGTGGCTACACAGACACAGAATGCCAGAATACGCAGACTCTCCAGCTCGGCCGCTCCAGCACATCCCCAGTGGACAACCCCACAACACTACTGACCTGCGATCAACAGGATGTAACCCACCTCAATGACACCTTCTGTGCAGATATTTTAGCCAACGCATCTCAGGTTCCTGATGCTCTCTACAGTGTCTGTAAAGCTTTGAGCACTCTCTCCCACTCAGAGCTAATCCTGGTGTGGAAAAACACTTGTCAGGTGGTCCAGCTTGTCCTCTCACCACTCCTGGAACCTTGCCCTCCTCTGCCCTCTGAATCAAGTCAGCGTGTGGCACGATCCACCCTTAGCCTCAGCCAGCTGTTCTGCAACTATGAGAACTGGACCACCGTGGAAGCCATAGACCCAGGTCTGGTCACAATGTGTAGTGACAATGACCCTGAAGCATTCCTCCAAGGTGTGTGTAATAACGTTCCTGTGATGCAAACTCTTATTGTGAACCCCAGCAATGCCTGGGTTTGGGAATTCTGCGCAAATGCTTCAGATCGATACTTGATTAGGCAGTATTGTGTTTATGAAACATGGACTCCTGAAACACTCGACCCCTCCATTGTGGCCCTTTGCTGGAGCAATGATCAAGTGAGAATGGAGACCCTTTTGTGTCAGAGTTTGGACTTTTTCATGGTCATATTTTCCAACCCAGAAAACGGTTGGTTAACACCTAACTGTGCTGAGATACCTACAACCCCACCAGTCAACATCGCCACCCTTGTTGCAGAATCATGCAGATACTTAGAATGGCGCAATATAAAGACAGTCACCATAGATCAAATATCCCTGTGTATACAAAATGACGAGATTCGATTCGTGAGCGAGGTGTGTGCCAATAGCACATTACTTGCTGCGCTCGTCATTAATGAGGGGTATTCCTGGGTAAGAGAGTACTGCACTATCTCTCTCAGTAATCCTCCAACAAGCCCGCCAGTAGTCTCCAGCATCACCGTCTTTCCAACAACTCCCCTAACAAGCTCACTCTCAGTCTCTAGTATTGCTGCTTCTGACACAACTCCCCCAACCTTTCCATCATCAGTCTCCAGCTACACACTTTTTCCTACAGCGACTCCAACTGTCTTGCTAGGGACCTCTACTGTACCTCTTTCAAGCACAACTGTTTCTCCCTCAAGTCTGCCAACAGTCCGGCCAACAATTTCCAGTATTACACTTTCTTCCACAACCCCTCTGACCTTCTCATTAACAGACTCCACCATTAGTATCTCTCCGACAAAAGTCTTCACAGTTATGTCAATGGCCTCAAGCATCACTTTATTTCCCTCAGATTCCCCTACAGTCTCACCAACAAACTCCATCTTAAGCCTATCTAACACATCTCCCTTGACCAGTCTACCAACAGTCTCCAGCAGCACACCCTCCCTCTCAACTTCCTCAGCTGTTCCATCAAAATCTTCCAACATCACTCTTTCTTCGTTCTTTTATACTTCCAGCATGACTCTCTCTGCCAAGATTTCTACAACAGTCTCCAATCTTACACTTGCTTCTGTAAATTCCCAGACAGTGTTGCCAACTATCTCCAGTACTGTATTTTCAACCATCTTACCAACAGTTTCCAGCATTACTCTCCCCGCAACAACCCTCCCAACTGTCCCACCTGCAGTTCCCAGCATTTCCGATTTATGTAAATATGCATCATGGGGAGTTTTGCCCGTGGATCCATCAGTAGTTGGTCTATGTTGGCAACTTGACACAGCAGCATTCCATTTGAATGTGTGTTGTAACACACCATTATTTGAACACCTAACCCTTGATCCCAAGAACCAGTGGCTGAAATCTGTTTGTTCTGATAATGACACAACAGACTTGCTGCCTCACGTTTGTCTGTACTCTGACTGGAGCCAACCCACCATTGTAGACATGACAGACCTCGCTCTTTGTGCTGATCTTGATACTGTAAATTTCACCAAGAAGGTATGCAACAATACCACTGTTCTGCAGAACCTTTTGGCCAATTTAGACAACACCTGGTTGCTGGAGCAGTGCTCCAATCTTACAGGGTCTAGCTCAGGAGGTGCAGGAGGAGGCAAGGGGAGTCTAATGGGCTTTGTACCCTCTGTGGAATGCCAGTATTCCATCTGGGTGGTCAGACTACCAGACGCTGCTCTTCTTGCCCTCTGCTGGGACTATGACCAGGCAAACTTCATCTCCTCAATCTGCAACAACCCTGCCGTGCTCTCTCACATAATCCAGGAACCTTCCAGTCTCTGGGTGAGCACTCTGTGCACTACCTACTCAAACTATACAAAGATTACCACCCAGTCCAACAACACCAACAGTGGTACCTACAATTATACAAACAGCACCAGTGGTGCCCACCCCTGCCTGGTGAAAGAGCTGATTGACAGGCTGAACTGGTCATGCAGTGTAGATGTGAATGTGGCTTGCCAGGCAGGAATAAGCCAGTTCCAGGGGTTGCAGCTGTTCATTCGCTGTGGGGTGGAGGTTCTCCTGCCCCGTTTGCAGAAGACGGTGAACCCGCAGGTGGCTTCTATAGTCAGGCAGGCGACCAGTGTATGGGTGGTTCTACTGCTAGTCCTAGAAGAGAATGAAATGACAACTCTGAGGGTGACTGATTACATTCGGCAAAATGTGATGGATTCTGTGTCTGCCTTCCTGGAGAGGGAAACAAAATTTGACAACAAGCAAGTGCTGCTACAGTGCTTTGGGGTAGGTTGTTTCACATTATACTTTTAGCTTCTCTCTTGAACCTAAACCTGTTCTTGAACTAAATTGCAAGGCCAGTAGTGTTTCAATATTAAAATCCTATGTAGTCTAGGCTTGTGCTTAATGCAGAGGCTATTAAATACAGACATGATATTCGGGGTTAAGTTTTTAACTGGAAAATCTCATTCTAAGGAGCACCACTGTAGGATGTGAATAGGCATGTTTACAAAAGTTGTAGTAATGGTTACATTTTTCATTTCAGCCAGAGTGTCCAATGTTTCCAGTCTGGGACTAAATTATTCGATTAGTAATATAAGGTTGACTTTGGGTCATCAATTCTTGAATCCCTTGTGATTTAGCATTTTAGAACAGGCTTAACGTTAGGGTGATTAATCAATTATATCCATTACCAAGATCTGTGAAATCGACACGTGGTATAGTTAGTCACTAGCTGGTATACGGTGTCCAACCTATCACTTGTCTTGGACATTTTACGTCTCTTCTCCTGCATGTAATATTAACAAATTGACATTTGATTTGCTGTTTACAGCGTCTCTCTAACCCAATATCCTGTGTTTATAGTGTTTCTCATAGCTGTTTAAACACTGATATTGGCACTGTAGTCTTCAGCATGTGATACTGTGATGATTTATCCATGACTGCTTTGAGTAGATCTCTAATTACCACATCTTGATTCGAGTATGTTTGTGTTTGGTTTTCAGAAAGTGCTGACCGGCCTGATGCAGACAGGAAGAGATGTGTACAGTAATGGCTCTTTCCTCATCAAGGTTAGAACGCAAGTTCTAACAAAGCTATTCTGTAACTGTAATACATAGATTCTAAACCAAATTATGCTATTTATAATAGTTAATCGTAATAGTAATTAATAACTTAATGATCTCAATGGCTGCTTTGACTAGAAATTGAATACATGAAGGATGGTTTTGCATAGTACTGTAGATCTAACTTCTTTTTTTTTTACATTCTTTTGCAGGAGTACTTCCATATTCCTCTGGCTAGTCTAAAGGCAGTATTTAGTTCACTGGATGTCAGCACCATAAGACAAATTTTACAGTACGTCACCCGGGACCAGGCCAACCTGCAGGTGAACTGCCTTAAACTATTACTGCCAAATCATTGTCATTGTGTCTTCAAACCTCTGTCAAAATAAAAGTTTTCAATTTATGTAAATAAATAAAAAATCTAAATAGCATGATCTTACGCAGTAAGAACAGGCAATTTGTAGCTCCATAAAGGAGACTTGGTCACTCACTTCATATTAATTACATTAATGATGTTAATCCTTCATATGAACACTGTACCTATCAGATGATTTCTCTGATGTGTACATAGTTGTATGCAAAAACTTTGTTGCCCCTGATCAAATGACATGTTTTGTTGATTTTCTAAGTGAAAATATGTTAACACATCCTCTACAGAAAACATAATGCATACTTACTGTTTATTTGCTGAATATACCATATTGAAAAAAAAATGGGAAAAAAAACTGAAACATGGCCAGTGTTTTATTTTTTCCAATATCTCAAACTCAAATAACGCAAATAACGCAAATAAATAGAAATCGTGTGCTAAACTTTGCAGAAAATTGGTCTATTTAAGTTTATTCCCTGTAAAGTGTCCCTGTACTTGTTATTTGACTGGGAGTGTTCAAACTTTAAACATTACTGTATATTTTCAAATTTTATATCTTACTGTCTTACAGATTTCTTCTTGTATATATTTCTTAAAATGAAAAAAAAAATGTGTTCTAAAACATTTCTCTCTCTCATAGCTGACTGATGAGTATTTACATACAATGGTGAAAGTACTGATCCAAGTCCACCTGAGGCAAGATGAGACCCTGTTCATTGACTTGAGCCCTCTCCTGAGCTTGGCAACACCAGAGGACATCAGCTCTCTACCTCCACTGCAGAACAATGTCAATGTGTAAGTAACACACCGGGGGCTCATTTCCTAACACACAGATTGAGCTGTGTAATCTAGTCTGTGACTTGGCTTAATCTGTATCCGGAAAACTGACCCGGAAAGTGTAAAAACGATCAGGGTGTGTAAAATAGCATGGTGTAAAATGTGCTATTGGGCAGTTGGCAACTGGAGTAACAATGCATTAGGGCAATAAGCACATTCGCTCTCACACACACACACAGACACACACACGCATAGATATAATTATGTATATAGTTTTTAATTAAAAAAAAACTTCTAACTAAACAAAGTTGAGAAAATGTAGATATACAGGAGGTTGACTTCAAATTTCACGTTGACCTAACTAATTTTGCACAGTGGAGGACGTTGTACGTTTCCAGTTTGTTCAGGGTTCTGTATACGGAAGAGATGTTGCATATTTCATTAATTAAATCTGTCCTGCTTCACTCTCCCTCAGATTAAATGTAATCAACAGCATCATCAACAGCCTGTCCCTCGAGCAGCGGCAGGCTTTCGGCTGGTGGTTCAGCCAGTCTGTCGGTAAGGCCAACATGACGGCCGGCGGCTTGTCCTTCATCCGAGACATCGGTAACCTGATCGCGTATCTGCCGTTCCACAGCTTCCAGTACCTCACACCTGCTCAGGTAACAGCCACAGCTCCTCACTGTGACACCTGAGCTGTCCTGGCTGATTTGTCCTGAGGCAGCTTCACTGGGAGTGGTGGGGGTGGGGGGACAGTGTTTATCACTGGTCAGAAGCACCTTTTGTGATGGACATACCTGAAAATTCATCTTCAATAAGTAAATATGGGGCCTTGTGAATTAAACAGGGGCACGTAGTGGGCATTGAGTAAGATTAAGCACAAAGTCAGTCACATTGTGTGGTCTGAATACAAAACTACAGTAGACATCCTAAACAAGACAATGTTCGCTGTACAGTATTCTCGTTCATTGTAATTTGTGTGCTTTACTGTCTCTGTATATGTGTCCTCTTTCTTTAAAAGCTCCTGGACGGTCTGGATGTCCTGTTGAGGAATGAATTGGGACCCCTGAAGCAGCAGTTCATAGCTCAGAGAATCATTGGAGGGTACAAGAACCTCACAACAGACCAGTTCAGAAGGTTAGCATACGCTGCCAATACAGCAATGGCATTTTCAAGTAAAAGACATGTTGTTCTTTAATGTTCACCGTTCTTTATTAGAGGTTGCACTGATGCTGTACCAATGCTGTAACAAATGTGTCATGAAAATGGCACAGTTTCACAGTGTGATGTGATGTTAGCTGTGCATTTCTTCCTTTGGTGTAGTACAGTGTTTGAGTAGTTTGAGAATGATAGCCTGCTTTTAGATGATCACTTTAAGTGCTTCAATTAAACATGCCTCATTTAAAAGCTTAGTTGTTTTCAAAGAAAAAATATTGGATTGGTATTGGCCGATGTTGTATTGTCCTTATTCTCTCTTCCACACAATGTATACAAGAGAGAACACAGTACTCTTTCTCTATGCAAAGAATTTAGGCACCTTAGAAAATGAGATACAAAAAGCTATTTATCTGGTCAATAAGTGTTTTTTTTACTCAAAAAAACATTGATTTTAGAATAAATACAAAGAATAATATAATAAGTAGTGATTTTATGCCTGTCAATGTAGCAAAGTTTTTGTAGTTATCATCCAACTCCTCATTTGGATACTTAATACTTCATTACATTAAGTGTGCTTGTGATGAAATTTAACAAATCTGTGTGACGGCTGGGGGCATCGCGGAGGCATCTGGAACCAAACTTGCTTCAAACTAGATATTAGCTTGTCTTCTTGTTATTTTTACTGTATTTATGCTGGATTTATGTATTCTAATGACTTATGGTGATTTTACAAGCAAAAACACACATATTGTGAAGATAAATGGTTTTAAATAATATTTATCTGTGCATAAGACCACCATTTTGAGGCTCATGACAATACATTATTAAAATTATGTACAAACTAGTCTTTGTGCTTGGACACCTGTATAAACATTTGTTCTTGATAACACATTTCCATTATTTTCCTGGGGTCATACTTGCTTTGATAAACTGAGCCAGCCTAACCATGACTCAAAAATGAGAATCATTTCAGTATTTGTAGGGCTGGACTGGGAGGCATAAATGCCTAAAATGAAATTTATTTTGATGCACTGAAAATATATCCGCCTAAAGGAGGTAGTGTCCTGTATTTACTATATATTTTATAGTAAAATAACGGACTTGGACATCCACATTATATCATTGTCCTTTTATTCAAACAAAACAACTTGTGTTATGTACAAAATTAATGTTACTTTGTTCAAAAAACTAGACAAAACAACTACAAAGTTACGCTACCATGTTTAATAAGGAGTGAAAGTGAGCATGCCTCAAGCATGCAATTTTTTCACTATACTTTGTTGAATTATTCCTTTACTATGATGTTGTGGCAGAAGTAGTAAAAGTATGCTTTATGTTTCTTTGCCTTCTCTTTTAGGTTAGCCACGCTGACATGTTGGGCTAACCAGAATGACCTGCTAGCATATATGGGCACCGATGCGTCCCCTGTGATCCAAGAAAACATCAGAACATGTGTAGCACAGGGGATCAGTGTACCTAGCTCCATGGTGAGGGTCTTTAAACATTCATTCAGTTCATTCAACTGCTCATCCAGCTTTACATCTAAAATCAAGGGTATTAATTGGGAATTCCACAGACTTCTTTTTGTATAATTAATTGTTGAGATTTAAGTTAGATCATTGGATGTAGTTTGATGTGAAATTATTTATTGCAGAAAAACATACCAACCCCTTTTTCCCCATATCTCTCCATCATGAATGCATTAAAAATACTATGTTTTAGGCCAAAACTTCTCAAAACTTTTACAGGCATTAAATGCTTCACACATCTGGTTCCTGTCACCATCACTGTAAACAATTCTGACGATCGGTTTCTCTGTAATATGGAGCACTTCACATCAAACCACTCTGAATGACTTTGTTTAGCGTCAGTGAGATTAGTTGTTGTAGTGATGCTGGACAATTAGTTCTGCCTCATCTCTTATCATTATCAGCATTTTAGAACACAAAGTGAGACATTGTTTTGAAATAAACCGGTTAGATCCCATTGTTTTGAAGTAAATCAGTGTGTAACATTATGAATTGTCACTACTGAAACACACGTTGCGCAATTAACTAAACTTTTTTGTGTTTTAATAGAAATACTATGGTCTTATGTGTGTACAACTGTTTAAAGCTGTGTTTGCTAGTCATGTACTGGCAAGTGTTTTTGACTTATGCTCAAAATTAGCTAAAATTGTCACTACGAAACAGTCACTACTGAGACATTTGGCAAAGTTTTGGTTGTGTTGTGATTGTTTTGTTAGTGTTAAAATGGAAAGTTCAATCCTTTGTTTCAATAAAATTAACATAATTACAATATGGGGTCACTCAAAGCCAGAGGATTTTAATGTAATGTCTGAGTCAGTTGAGAAGTCTCGGATTTTGAACTCTGACTGTGATCCAGTGCTTTAGAATGGTCCATTTTTAGCATTTCATTCTATTGCTAAAGCTTTTCAATGGAGATTTTTCAAGTGATTGTATGCAATCGAATGCCTGTGTCAGCAATAAGTGTTCTTTAAAGTATCTGATCATTAGAATTCCACAAATTAGGAGGGATATCTGGGTACTTTTGGACACACAGTGTACCAGCAGGTCTTTTGTTATCTTACTTGCCTTCTACTCTGGACATAAAGAAAAGTTTATCTGACTGACTGTCTTTTATGTCATCTACACTTTATACTTTTGCTCTTTTGTTTCTCTCACCAGATTTCCAGTCTGTTTTTGAACTCGTCTGACGTGCAGTCCCCCACCTCCCTCAGTCCTCAGAGGATCTCCCAGCTTGCCCAGTTCCTGCCCTTGATGGGCTTGGACTTCCTTCAGCAGCTTAGCCAAACCCAGCTCCTGCCTGTCCTCAGTTTACTGACCTCTGTGCCCTTCACACCTTTGCAGGTATGCAGCGTATCTGCCAAATATAAAACACATACAGATGCAGCAACACAGCAACATGGAATTCTTCAATATGGAAACATCTAACTGTGGACAATCTTCAGTTGTCCTGTATGCATTCAGAGCTTTCACTGAGGTCAGGGGTCAAGTGGGGGCTGCAGGGTGTCAGCCCTGAGGGCATATGAACAGGTGGGAGGTTGCCCTCAGTCAGCTTCTAGGGAACTGATACACACACACAGACTGGAGGGGAAGGGAGGGTGGGCTCCTCTTGGACCCTGTGATTAGAATTGCATGACCAGCTACGACTCTGGCTAGCAAGCTAAACATGTGGCTTCCCACAGCCAGAAGGTGAGCAGCATGGAGATACAAGAGATGCCCTGAACCCCAAATGTCTCAGCTGGCTTCTCACCCCAGAGAGCAAATCAGAGAGAAATTGCAGTATATCTGTTAATTCTCTTGCATAAAGCAGGACCTGTTTGGAAGTTGCTATACTTGAGTTTTCAAAATCATAAACACAAATAAACTTGAACTCTTTTTGGGATTTTGAGTCTAATGCCTTGTTTTTCATTTCTTTGTTTTTGCAGGCTGCCGTGATCATAGACAAGGTGTCACCGAGCTTAAAAGTAAGTTGATTTTCATAGTAGTGAAAATACAGAGTGAGTGAAAGACAGAGAGAGAGAGAGAGAATGTGTTAATGTACAGATATGGGCCCCTGATTTTGTGTGTAAGTGGTGGAGAGGATTGTTTTCTGAGTGGATCTGAAGCCTGCTCGGGTAATTTATGGTGTTATATTGATGTTAAAAATATGTATGTAATTAAGGCCATGTATGTAATGTATGTCATTCATAACAACGTTTGTGCATGATTCAGATAAACAACTTGAAACATTAATAAACATTTGTCAAAAGCACTTTTTGGCTAGATCAGCATTTTTGGATGTGCCAGCCCACTGTAACTGCACTTAACCTTAAGATACAATCGAAACAATACATAAAAATGAAATATCTTATTATATTTGCATTAATGTGTGAATCCATTTAACATCTCACCTTTTTGCACGAGTTATGTATTATAAAATATTAAAAATGTAAATTTTTCTCAACATTCACTCAACCCTGTTACTCGAACATATTCACCCCTAAGGAATATCCACATGTCACATGTACAAAAGAATTTCCTGAAGATCATGGGGGCAAAAAAAAGAGGTTCTTTCATTATTGTCCTTTATTTTTGGTGATACTGTGATATTGAGTGATAAGGGCACTCACTACAACCTTGTAACCTAAATAATGGATTGAAAATAAATAATTCAATCAATAAAAAATACATTTTAAGTAAATAATTAGAATGTCCTCAATGGATGCTAGTAAACCTAATGTTTGTGTATTTGCAAATTCTATAGTAAAAGCTTAAGCCTTACTTTCAGCTCTGTTACTCATTTAAGCCACTTGTCAGGAAAGATACCTTGAAAAAATGAGATGTTGTTCCTGAGATTGGTTAACACATTTTCAGTGGTTCAATACATGTTTTCTTAGATTCAATGTTGAAAAATATACAAAATGAAGTTTAATTTTAAATGGCAACTCAATCGTGGAATCACACATTTTAAATGATTGATTAGAGGAGAAACAAATTATACTTATGTCAAAAGACTCGGCAACACTTTACTGTAGGGTACTGTTTCATAAGGCTACATGACACCTACATGTGCTTGTCGTGACTGACATAACCCTGCATAAATGCTTATTACAATAGGCGTCATTTCTCATAAAGTCTACTTTAGCTAACTGTTATTAGAATTGGCAAATGTAACCTTTTAAGTGAATGACAAATACTGGAATAAGCATTTATAAACATTTATGTAAGGTTATGTCACTTGTCATGACAAGCTTAGGTTGGTGTCATGTAGCCTTATGAACAATACCTTACAGTAAAGTGTTACCAATGACTCTCTATCTCAAACTATGACTTATGTCAAAATAATGACTTATTTTATCAAAATCCTGAATTATTATCTCAAAATAATGATTTTGCCATGAACAATTACTTTTTTGAAATTTAATAATTCATAATTTGACATAGTATGTCAGAATTTAGACTTAAGTCAAAACGTTGAGTTGTCAAAATTGAGAGAAAAGCTATTATTTTGGCTAACCATTATTTTTACTAACTCAAAAATCCCAAGAAAATAAGTCTCAATGTATTATTTTGAGTCAAACTTCAGACGTAAGTCAAAAATTTGACACACTGGCGCCAGAAGCAGAGAAGAATTAAAAACATTCTAAAGTAGGAGAGTTCATACATTCTTCTACCTTAATAAACTTCAAACTGCAGGTGTACTATTGCCCTGTTACTCTATTGTTTAGGTGCCATCATTTATGTCTCCCCCTTCTTTAATTATAAAGCAGCATTCCAGCAGTTTTTTTCCTGCATGTATCTGAAGTTAGGACTATGTGAGATGATACCAGTGGAAAAGTATCTTCTGTGTTTAGTCCTTGTCTGATGGACTATTGTATTGATATAAAGAAGACACTCAATGATTTAGTGGGGAGAGCAGAAACGTATCACTCCTTTTTTCTTTTTTGCCTCCTCATCTTCTTTCTCATCACTCATGTGTTGTGTGTTGTGGCAGCTGTCTGAGTCGGGTTCCGGGGTGTCTAAGCTGATGTTTCTGGCGAGCGGGGTGAGTGTGGAGACTCTGTGGGGTTTGCCATCTGATGCCCTGCTGACTGCACTGTCCAACTTCAGCCAATACACACCCCAACTGACCCCTCCACAGGCCAACGCCATTTCTGCTAAACTCTGGGTGAGCAACAAATACTTGCCCACCCCTGACACACATGTACACATATGCACACATGTCTCAATCTTGTTTTCCATAAAACTACACAAGGCTAAAAGTTTGGAACACGTGTGAAAACAGGGAAATAACAGGAATTTAACTGAATTTTTTTTGTTAAAAATGGCACTTTCAGTTTTTGGCCAAAAAACAAAAAGGTAGAAAACTTTGACCAAAAAAACTCAAAGATTAAATAGACTTACAATCAATCATGAAGACTTTCCAAATAATTTTAGTAGTAATGAAAATGAGAAAAATACTGCTTTTTCAGTTCACTTTCCTGTGCTGGTCAGTGTAGATGCTTTCAAACAATGTGAGCCTCAGCAGATAAACAGTGAAAATGTCAGCCATGAGGAACTTTTTCATGGTTTCTATGAGCTTTTAACATGATAAGATTCCCAAAATACTTTGAAAATCATTGCTGACTTCTATATTTTTGGTCTAAAGAGCATATATTACCATAACTTAATATCGTTGCTTGTATGTTTTTTTTTTACTTTTTTGCAGAATTAAAAAATACCAGCTGCCCTTTACACAGTGTTAAACATTTCATGATGAATGAACCAACAGAAATGGTCCAAAATCGCTCAATAATATATTTATTTCCTCCTTTCAAGTTACCATTTTGGAGATATGGAGTTTTGTTCTGATAGTGATGATCTACATCTAAACCTAACCTAAAAGGTTTTTTATCTGTTTGAAAGTTGCATTGACCATTTAAAAAAAAACATAGTTAAAATTGTTATAATCGTATAAAAGTGTTTGTCATAATGGGAAGGCCAAGCTCACAGAGACAAGATTAAAGACATGTTCTTCCTTTACTGTGCCAGTTTGCTACAGAAATTAGGGCAAGTGATACGAGAGCAATCGTTTATTTCCAATGCTGAAAACTTGTCTTAGGAACAGAAGTTGAATAATTAAGTGTTTTTTATTATGAAGCTTTGACTCTGGAGTTTTAACACATGGCAGTGCTTGTATCATTAATGTAAGGCTACAGTTTTGTGAATACACCTGCATTATGTTATGAGGTTAAAGTTAGCTCACACATCCCAAGGAACATTCTTACACAGTGCTGCTCATTAACATTCATTCAATTTTGAAAAACTAGTGAACCTTTTAAAAATGTATGAATGTGTGTGTTTGTGATGGTGTTAGTCTGCAGAATTTGTGATTGCAGGCCGCAAGTGGCATTAAATAGCAGTATCAAGTCTGAAGCCTATCACAATGACCGATTGTGTGGCCTGTGTAGCGCCTGCAGCCAAAGAACAGCAACAGCAACAGCTGGCAAGCTCAGGTTGCCAACACACTGACCCTCCCTTTACACCCTGGCAGGTGGAGGAGTGTGGAAGCATGCCAGCATGAGGCTGGCACACCTGAACCTGAAACTGCACCTCACAGCTGTCTGTTTCACAGGGCACGACACGTTCAAGTGTGAAATATGTTTACATTTATTCGTGTGGTCCAGTTTACACACTGACCCGTGACATGTACACGTGTGCAATTTGGGCTTTCATCAATTTTAGTGAAAGTTGATCATAAGGTTGAGGTTGCAAACAATGTGTTCAGTGTTACTCCAAGTTATGTAACTCCCTGGCCACTTTGTTAGAAAAACCTAGCTTCTGGGCAAAAACCACGTTTATGAGTAATCGCACATTTTTTCACACGGTAACACGTTTTTTCACGTTATACAGGGCCTGATTAAGATCCTGTGGTGCTCCTGGGCATTAGAGCTATAGTGTCCTGTCCACACAAACCCACTGATAATAACCATTTGCTATAGAGGTCTTGGTTTTACTGAAAACCTGTTCTATTGACGAAATGTCTAAACCGAAACAGAGTTTTCCTCAGCTGAGACTTTTTTTGAGTAGGCCAGGTGTGCCAAAATGAGGGTGAGAAAATAGTTATAAGATGCCTAAATGATCCTGTCCATTTTTTACCTACACAGACGTAACTGACCACCCAGTTTACAAAACGATCATGCTTTCTGGATATTTCTGGCTGGAATATCAGGCTGACCGTTGTGGTTACATTTTATGTAAACTGAATGAGTTTTGTGTGAATAGATTAAAAACATTTAAAACTATGCACTTTTTTGATCTTTTAGTGCCCCTGGGCAGTGGGTTCCACAGGGCAGTCACCCAGGTCACCCATATTGCAGATCCGGCCATGATGTGGTAACATTTTTAACAAGTGAAGTGTTTAGACAATGATTAGACAACATATTTTAGATTTTATAGACACAATATTTAGCTATCGATAGCTTTCATTAGTAGGCTAGCTAGGTATCAGTCTTTGCGTCTTATGTTAGATTCACATTAACTAACATGCTAAATCATAATGGACATTTTAAACTGGGCCCACTAACTGAAATTTTCAGCAAAAAATACTCAAATCATCAAATAATATTAATTACAACAAGTGAGCTACACATCCAAATAAATGCCACCAAAGCTTGAAGAAAACTAGAAAGCGGAACCCAACTTTTATTACAGATTGTGAGTTTCTTGAATGCATTTACATTCCAAACACACCACATACTGACAGTCGTTGCCATGGAGACTGGAGGGCGGACCCTGCTGCAGCATAGTGACCTTCTTATTGGCTGAATGGGCCGTAGGCTGAACTTGTAGGTTCTACAGACACTTCACTTTAAACACCACTTTAGAATGGAGTAAAACAACTATATGCGGTTTGCCTATAAAATAGTTATTTAAATTTTTGAGATATGAACCGGAAAGCTGTTGCTTTTTACTTCCGGACTGGAGTTCCTGTTCTGACCACAGAGCCACTTTAGGCTGGATATGTTTCTCTCAGCCTAGCAGTGATGCTGTGTACAATCTTCAGCAACACCACTGAGCCTGATACACTGATACCAGCACCACATACACTACCATGTCAGTGTTACTGCTGTGTAGAGAATGGTCCACCACCTAGATAACATCTGGTCCTGTGGTCAGAAACTGACTAATTATGAATAGTGTAGCGGCAGCTGATAAAATGTGCACCAACAGATGGGCTACAGTCTGTAATTGTACACCCATAGAATGGATAAGGTAGATGGGGCTCATAATGTCTACACTAAACAGGAAGCACAAGGGAGGGGTTTCCAATAAAGTGTAATAGTGAGAGTTTATCATACAGATATGATTCGTATTGGAATTTAAAGTCGGGTTCCACAAGTTCCATTGAATTGGGCTTGACTATGATTGCAGTCTGAGTCTGTGTTGCTGATTGTGTGTACTCAGGGTGTTTCAGCAGTGGTCACATGGTTAAAGGAGGTGGATCCTCTGCTGTCCAGCACTCAGCTGCTGTCTGTGATGCCCCGTGCTCATCTCTTGCTGACAAACGGCTCTGGTCCATACACACGCAGCTGGAACACACAACAGGTACACACAAACACCTGGAGAATCACTGAATGTGCATACACAGGAGCCCTTTCACAACGTATATTATCCTGCTGTATACAGTTGTATGCAAAAGTTTGGGCACCTGGTCAAATGACATGTTTTGTTGGTAGAGGATGTGTTAACTTATTTTACTTAGAAATCAACAAGGCAAAATCTAACCAGAGCTGTTCAAATGTTTGCATACAACTGTAAATATTATTGTTTTCATTTCTCACTACTGCTGTAAGATCTTGATCACCATCAGGTTCTGTGTGGGTCAGATGGTTTTATTCTGCACATGTCTGTGAGCAATGCACACACGGTGTATTTTTCATTATGTCTCTAACACAGTGCCACAATGCCATGAGGGTGTTGTAGCTGTGCTAATTAAGAATTAAATTATTAATGTAGGAATGGAGCTTCTTTTGTTGTGTAACCAGTGACAAATAAAAAGGTCACTACATCATCTCTGATAATTTGTCTCCAGCCAAGAGCTGATAGGGATCGATGAGGTCTTGTAAATTTTATCCCTCAGTCCTGTGTTCTGGGACACCGAGCATGACAATTAGCAGTAATCCCCTTTCACATGCAGCAACAGATCTCTGCGCTTGATAGGCCAACTTTAAGTAAAGAATTACTAGAAACTGCATTGCTATGCTTACCATGCTGCTCATCGTTATTAATTATATAACTAACACACCAACCCAGTTCCAAAAAAGTAAAGACACTAGGTAAAATGCAAATAAAAACAGTAGTGATTTATAAAATTATTTTGACCCGTATTTGACCAAAAACAGTACAAAGACAGGATTTATAATGCTTATTCTTATTAACTTTTTATCTTTTGGAAATATATGCTCATTCTGAGATTGATTCCACAAAAAAGTTGAGACAGGGGCCATGCATAAAGAAAAAGGGTGAAAACCACAAATGAATGACCATGATACTCGACCCTTCAGACGGCACTGCATTAAAAACTGGCATGCTTCTGTGATGGATATCACCACACTGGCTCGGAAATACCTTAATAAACTGATGTCAGTAAATACTGTCCATTGCTGCATCCACAAATACAAGTTAAGGCTATACTATGCACATTGAAAGTCATATGTTAACTGTGTCCAGAAATGCTGCCAACTTCTCTGGGCTAAAGCTCATCTAACATGGTTTGATGCACCGTGGGAACGTGTACTGTTGTCTCACGCGTCAACCTTTCAGAATGTTTATGTAAATAATGGACACTGTGTTCTCTGCCCCAGAGCGGAACCATCCAGACTGTTACTAGTATAAAGTTCAAAAGCCAGCGTCTGTCATGGTATGAGGGAGTATTAGTGGGTAACCTGCACTTCTTAAGCTTGTGATGTTAATTTGCTTGCTTGTTTGATCTTTTTCAGGCCAAAACCTTATTCAATGAGGCTATGACTTCCATACGAAGCCTGTCCACAGTGCAGTTCACGTGAGTGTATTTAAACTGTCATTTATGTTAATTCTATCCACAATTCATATCATTACTCTTCAGATGGTTCTGATTTTATCCACTAACTGTACACAATAGGATTCAATAACCACACCTTTATTAATGTTTTCTCTTACCTCAATATGGCACACATTCACTGGCTACTTTAATAGGTACACTTACCTTATATCTACACTCATTGTACACTTTATCAGCTCCACTTCCCATATAGGTGCACTTTGTAGTTCTACAGTTACAGACTGTAGTCCTATTTATAGTTCTACAATTACAGACTCTTTCTCTTAACTTTTTAGACCCCCATTACCCTGGTTATCAATGGTTCCCCACAGGACCTCCACTGAGAAGGTATTATCTGCCAGCCTGCTCAGTGGTGGTCCTGTGACTATCACAATTATGGGGAGAAACAGATTGACTGCAATTTTCAGTTGTAGAATTGCCAAGTGAACCTATATGGTAAAAGAACCATTATTACAATTATTGTAGATACAATGTAAGTGTATCTAATAAAGTGGCCAGTTTATTAGGTACTGTGTAAAATCCATAGAAAATGTGTGCACATCCCTCCAGAATCTGGCACAGGTGCAAGACACAAAAAGGAGTGTTGATCAATAAAGATGAATGTGTGCATAAACAAAAACAAAGCTCCTTTGTTTATTATAGTGTTTATTTAAAACAGTCTTAGAAAAGAAATGATTTTGTTCCAACAGCCAAAGCAAGTGATTTTGAAATGTTTATTGATTTTCAAATGATTTTTTTGAAGTTCGAGACTTTTTTCAGTAATCCACGTTAGCCATTCAACAGTTAATTATGGCCAATCAATAAAATGCATCTTCAGCTTTGGTTTTAAAACAGTCACTGAGGATGTCTGTCTGACATCGGCTGGTAGGCTGTTCTAAAGCCTTGGCGTAGCAACAGCAAAGGCCCAGTCTCCTTTTAGTTTAAGCAGGGACCGCAGGACAGTCTGCAGCAATTGAGAAGGTAGTTTGAGGTCAATTGAGGTTTTAAAGGTCTTGAAGGAGCATATACACAGAGCATGCCCATAATGTATGTATATACAAGGCAATTTAATGCTTTAAAAACAAAGGTATATAAAGTATAAAGAGGTATATAACAATTTATCGAGGGCAGAGACGGAGACTGTAGGGGATCTGAATAAGGATGAAACCGTTGTGGTGCGCCCAGCTGATAAGCGTGGTGCAGTAGTTCTCCAAATTACAGTAGATTATGAATCAAATTTAATGATTCGTTTTTGTTTTTTTTTATCAGCAATTATCTGCTGACCCTACTCAGAGGTTGAAAGAGGAAATACATTCTAGGCTTTTGCTCCATTATGAAAATACTGAATTTGACAAAACTGTATATGAATTTCTCAAGGTTAATTCCGCTATCACGTCAGTTATTTATACATTGCCAAAATGTATTAATAATTACTGAAGGGTCCTGCAACAGGTAGCAAAATGGCAAAAATTATGCCTGTTTATACGTTCTCAATGTGGCAAATCCTGTTTTTTCCAAGAATGTAAAAATGCTTTATTAAAACAGTGTGCAGACATTCATCTTTATTTTTCAGTTTATTAGGTACACCTTCACACAACCAGAAGCATCTATCATATAGGCACACTGTAGTTCAACAGTTACTGACTGTAGCCCATCTGTTCTGCGTCACAATTTATCATCCACCCTCTATCCTGTCTGTCAGTGGAAAGGGACCACTATAGGACCACCACTGACCAGATATGGTTTGGCTGGTGGTTCATTCTCTGGCCAGCAGTGATATTAGCATGGTAGTGGCATGGTGCTGGTATGAGTGTATCAGGCACAGCAGCTCTATTGGGGTTGCTTGGGGTTGTTTATACATGTCAACTTCTAGAGACTACCATTACCATTAAAATCGTTAGCAGGAGCAGTTTATCCAGATTTTCTTTACAGTGATATATTCCTCTGGTAATCATTCATTACATATAGAATCAAAGTGAGATCTTGGGGCAAATATATCTTTCCTCATGCATTTTAAAGTTAGTTACTGCCAGAAGTGACAAATTTTATGTATTTTTCTGCAGAGTGAACATCAATCTTATTATTAGTGCATAAAATATTTAAATAAAAAACAATTTTTACATTTTTTTTAAAAAAGCTCTAATGTTTTGGCTCATTTCTGGCAATAGCCAATATCTATTTCTTCCACCCCATCATCCACAGACTGTTCAGATTACACGCTACACTGATTGAAATAAAGGTGCATTTTTCATTTATTGAGGTAAAAACAATGTACCCTCGAAGGTCCAAAAGTGATTTTAAGGTCCAACTGTTTACCTTAAATCCAGGTGAAAAGTACATATTTGTACCTTTTCATAACCTAATGATTTAAAACAGAACAATAAAATAAAAGCCTGGAGACGAGACAGGGTGCGTGGAGACGATACAACTTAGAAAATATAATTTCAATGGACCATTATGTTCCCTGACTAAAGGTACTGAGATGTACCCTTGAAGGTACCACCCCAGTGACAAGAGGGGTACTGCCCCAGTGATAGCTATGTACCTTTTTTTCTGAGAGTGTAATAAATGTAATTTTATTGGGGGACTTGTTTTAGAATAGATTTTCCATATCTCAGCCTTACAAGGCCGAATACTAACAGAATTGTGGCAGACTAATGTTTTATACAGGTAAATCATATGGCTTGACTCCTATGTGTGTTGAGAATAGTCCTTAATAGACCAAACAAATACAGCCAGTACAGTGGTAGAGGTGGTGACCGTTGATTAAGGACCAAAACAAATTGTGTATTCACATTGTGCAGCACCTGCTACCATGCCACTACCAGTACAGGTACATACAAGGTAAGTGTGCCTAAGTGTGGCAACTCTTTTTGTGTACTGTGTTTTAGGGATGAGAAATACAATTGCTACAGTATAGTATTGTTATATTTTGCTTTAAAGTAGTATTGATAAATGGAGGCCTCTACTATCTTAGCAAAAAATAACTATGGATATTTAATAATGAATATGTATTAAGATGTGTCAAGCCTGTCGTTAGACTAATAGTCTATTCCAATAAATAAGTTGAAATGAGATGAAAAAACTTCACTCTATAAGAAAGTTTTCTTTTAGGGGAATAATTTGTCAAACATTCAGAGTTAAAAATGACTATATAACACATTATATCATATTGCTTTATTACTTTGAATATCCCAAATCTTTAAATATCACAGTAGAAGTGTATCATGGTTCAAGGATCCTAATAATATGGTATAGTGGGGCCTGTAGCGATTCCCACTCTTACTTGTGTTTTCTCTTTCACTTGTGTTTTGGGCAGGTCTCTGGGGACAGTTGCTCAGGGCGTGAGTTGCAAAGTTTTGACGAAGCTGATTCAGAACAATCCGTCAGTGTCATCCATGAGTGACGTTCTGGGGGTTCTGAGAAAACAGCCCGTTCCACTCCACCCATCACTGGTGTTTATATTAAATAACAATATATCATCATTTCCTGCTGTCCATTCAGATCTGTGGTTTTATGATCACTTATAAAGTATGAACATTACAAAGTGAAACCAAGGAAAACAAACCGTATTGTAGTTCTCCTGAAATAGAAATGACATTTGGTCATGACCTGATGAGTTCCAAGCATTTTTAATCATTCTAAAACCCTTTATTCTGTCTAATGTAGAAAAAGTGTCTGATTGAGGAACTGTACAAGCTCGCCTTCTTCTCCGACCTGCTTGGGGCCATGGGCGCTCAGATTGCTCTCTCAATCCCGTAAGTCTTTTATCTGACTAATTATTATATAGTGTTTATTAACGGCCATTAATGGTAATTCAAATCTCATTGTCTGTGTATCAGATGCCTGAGTTGGTTATTGTATGGGGGTTATGTACTAATTGAAATATCAATGCTTTGTAGGATGAGCACTATTAAAAAGTTCTCTGTGCTGATGACTGACATCCTGAGGAGTATGATAGTGCAGGATCCACAGCACTTTCTGCTGATGCCCACCACTAAACAGACCATCCTGGTGGACAAGATAGTTCAGCGACTGGTCAGTCTACTTTTTGTCTTTAACATAACCTTCACCACTAGCTCTGCTCTAAAATCCTTCCAGTATAAACAGAATACAGTAAAATTCCATTTCTGTCCATTGTGGTTTGTTTTTCATGAATGCGTGGACAAACATCAGTGTCAAAATTGCATTTCAGCAATTTTCAACCTTTTCATTTTCCTTTTACATTATAGCATGGCTGGCACCAAGCATTTATCAGCAGAGGAACTGAACATTTTTTATTTTATTCTGTTTATTCTGGGATCCTTTGTTCTAAAATAAGATAATAAACCTCAGAATTCAGATGAGTGACCAATAGCAAAGCAGTACAGATGCCAGCACCAACACAACATAATGAAATGAAACACAGAAAATGAATGTATATGTAAAAGCATAAATAATTACATGTTAGTGACTAAAATGCAACTGAGTTAAACAGATATCTCACTAATGTACTTAAGTAAAAGTATTATCATTTGAAAATTGGCACGTACAAATGATTGGAAATGTTTATTTTGTCTATGTTGGAACACTGCCACATGGAAATTAAGTGTCAAAATGATTATATTATATGACAATAATATTGTATTTATTCAGTCATATACAAAAGTTTGAGCACCACTGGTCAGGTGACATGTTTTGTTGATTTTCTAAGTGAAAAAAAGTTAACTCATCCTCTGCAGGGCACAAACTTAAATATGGCATTTTTGTGCAAAGTTTAATGCATGATTCATATTTGTTTTACATATTGGAAAAAAAATATTTTCACTTAGAAAATCAACAAAACATCATTTACCCAGGGTTACTCAAACTTCTGCTTTTGACCACAAATGTCCATTCTGTAAATCCAATCACAAACTGAAAGATTGTATTTTGTTTTTCACTTTTTGGACTAGGCTTTGTCATTTTCATTGTAGAATTTCAATTTTTATTTAAACATAAATATTTCCACATTATGTAGCCAGAGAGTTATATTTTGTCAATATTGTGAAGAATTATATAGCAATAAGCTTTCCTGAGCACAGATAGATAACGTTAGCACTTAACAAAAACTGACCATTTGCATGTTTCATTAAAGTGAGCATAATTAGTCCTGCTAAATTGGATATAGTGCAGTGCAATAAGTAAACACACATTGTGTTTGTTTGTGCCATCTTATCATCAAAAAGAAGCTAAATATTATGAAACATATTTTGTAATGTGAGAATGCCTTTAAGTATCGCGATATAATATTTATGCCATGTTGTCCACCCCTAGTCAAAGACATAAACGTAGCAATGTTTTGTTTGTATTTTACTGTTTATCCCCCACAATGCTGTTTTGTCCTTCAGGGCATGCACACTGGCGAGTACACCGAGGAGGAGTTTCGTTCTCTGGGCATTATGGCGACGTTCGTGGTGGACGAAGTGTTCATGCAGCTGGACAGGAGCTTCTTTGTGGACAGTGTGGAGTTTCTGCGAGGTTTCTGTTATGATAGTAGCAAAAGAGACATTGTGGCCTCAATGCTACAGGAACGCAGCACGTTTGGGTAAGAAAATTATGGCTCTGTTTAACTTGCCATTTTTTTGTATCAAACCACATACCAAACCTCATTATTATCTTTAGAAAAAAATTATATTACATTTTGTGAAATACTCAAAAACGTGTCATAGTGGTTTATGAACACAACATTAATGGAATTGTTATATGAATGGTGGATCAGTTTTTTTTTTTTTTTAGATAGAATCAACTCAATAATGGGCTTAAAGGTTATACTGCCATTGCTATTTACAGACATGTTTATTTTACTTTGGGGTAAAAGGTTCATTATAGACATTATCAAAGCTCATCTGTATTATTTTCTTTCTAAAACTGGTGACCAATGACAAAAAGATTTTATTTATCAATGTTTAGTGAAGAATTAAAGAAATTACTGAAATTTGCACCTGACACTGCAGGCCCTGGTATTCCCCTCAACCCATTCCTATGGTATATTTTTTGCATATAAATATCTACAGCTTTGTAAACAAATGAATACATAAATAACAAAATAAACACAAATAGTAGAAAGAATCTTAGTCGACTAAATTCTATGATTAATCAGTAAATGTTGACATTTTTCATTAGTTATGGCTTCCAGTTTAAATCATTGCCATACTGAGGTTCATAAGCTTGTAAATTATTTAAGTTAATCATTTTTCTGTAATAAAACACTGACTGGGCTTTTTGAGGATCATGAGTGGGCATTAAAAGGCACTCATACAAACCCAGTCTAGACTTTCCAACTTTTCTGGTCTTCTTTTATTTTCTTTTAAATAAACCATATAAAACTTTCTTGGTTATGTCAAACAAATGATCGTAATAATTGTTCATATCATTATATCACCACAACTAAAAAGTTTGTATAAAAATTGTTTTCATTTAGATTTAGGTGTGCTTATTGGCCTTATACTATCACCGGCTACTTTCTTAAATACAATATACCTTATATCTACACTTACTGTACATTTTACTTACATGTTACATATAAGTATTGGCATCCCTGGTAAACATGAGCAAAGCAGGCTGTGCAAATATTCTTTACTGCTTGTCCTTCAGCAAAAATGTAACCTTTATTTGGAGAACAATGATTAAAACACCCTAAATCTTATCAAGAAATAAATACTTTTCTGAAAAACTGTATGTGGTGCAACTATTAGCACCCCTTAATTTAATGCTTTGTGCAGCCTCCCTTTGTAAAGACCTGTAAAGACACATGGCAAGGGATCTGAGACCATTCCTCCATACAGAACCTCTCCAGATCCTTCAAATTCCACTGTTCGTTGATAGAAAGTAAGATTGAAATGATTACCAGGGGTGCCAATATTTTTGGAGACAGTAATATATCAGTATATTAGATATATTAAATATCTTTGTTGCAGTGTGATGTGGTCTCTAGTTCTGATGAAGAATTTCACCTTTTATCAATTGCTCTTTTTCCTCTCTCAAAGCCCAGTCCAAAACTGGACCACAGCGACCCTCAATCAAGTGGACAGGTTCCTGTTTTACCTGTCAAGAGAGACCATCCAGCTGATTCCTCCGGTAGGCAATTTTATCAGCCCTGTCAGCATCATCACCATCCCTGCAGCATCACTGCATTTTAGTCAAACAAGTTGCATGACGTGATGCCCATTAAGACTGTTAGAAGAGTAGAGTTCCAGAAAGGAATGATTAATGACTAATTGGGACAGTTCCCATTTATTTGGCCTTTACCTTCAGGATTAATCAGATAGTGGTCATGATTCATTCAGTAGCCTCCACCCTGTCCTGTCCACAACATGACTCCTGGGGTCAGGAGCAAGTGGAGAAGATGAAGGAAACAATACTCTGTGTCACGCTAATTATCCATTGCTGCGGATTATCCATTTACATCCACACTCACATGCCCTGCTCTGTTTGTGTGTGCGTGCATGCAAACACAGGACCTGATGAGTCAGGAGCGGATCGAGCGACTGTTTGTCAGTCAGCGGCAGTGGGAGAGCGGAGATGTGGGCTCTTTGTGTGTACAGGAGCGCTCTGTGCTCTTCACCAAGCAGCAGTTTGTGCTCCAGTACTTCTTGGGCTTCCTCAAGCCAGGACGCAGTGAGTGCCATCATTTTTGTGATGTATTTTGCCATTGACCTCCTGAGCATATTCAGAGTCAATATCTTACTCTTAAATATTTCATGTTCTTTTAGATATACCCATTAGACATACATGCCATATGGTGTTTACGCCTATTAAACATAATTAGCAACAAGTCATTACTCTATTAACCTTCTGTTGAACCGTCACATCCCACAATCCCCATCACTGCGTCTGCTAGGAGACATATCAGCAATTCATATAATTAATGAAAACAGCACTTCCTACAGCAATAACCATCTTTAACGACTCCTATGAACAGAAAATCAAGGAATGCCATTAACACTCACTGCAATGTGTTAACACTCACTGCCCACTCTATTGAGTATACCTATTTTGTATCTACACTTGCTGTCCATTTTATCATTTAATGGTGCACTGTGTAGTTCTGCAATTACAGGTCGTATTTCATCTATTTCTGCGAATAATTTGTTACACCCCAACACCTTTACTCCATCCATCGATGGTCAGGACCCCCACAGGACTCCCACAGGACCACTGAGCAAGTAGTAGTACATAGTAGTAAAGCGGTGTGACAAATTATGTAGAAAAACAGATGGACTACAATCTGTAATTGTAAAACTACAAAGTGCACCTCTATGGTAAGTGGACCTGATTGGACAAAGAGTGTAGATACAAGGTAGTTGCACCTAATAAAGTGGGCAGTGAGAGTACCTGTAGTACCATTTACAAAGCAATTTATTTGTTTTTTATTTCAATTTATTTTATTTATTTAAAAAGCATTTATTTGTGTTGAATTGAACCCCTTTTAAAAACTAGGCCTCCTAGTGGCAGAATGGTAATCCACTCACCTGATACATAATGAAATAGCTTAGCTCAAAATATAATTCAAATTTAATTAAAACATTTCAAAAAGATTCTGATTTAATTAACAATATTAAAATTCAACGCTGAACTGAGAGACAGCCAAAACAGGCTGAAAAGCTGTTAAGAAAAAAAAACAAAAAACAGGAATACCCATTTGAGTTACCCATCAGAAAAAATGCCAAAAACATTGACAGTCATTAAACAGTGAATTACAAAAAAGTAGGCAGTAGCACTACACAGTTGCAGCATAATAAAACTTGATATTTATGTTTTTGTAGTTCTTTATTTTTTGACCTAATTTGAAAATACCTGCTAAATTGTGTGAAAATTTCATGACAAATGGACTATAATTGTCTCAAATATCCTTGTATACTGTAGTATTAACATTAGTCCTCACTAGAACTAAGGGGCTGAGCCCAAACCCTGAAAATCAGCCCCAGGTCATTATCCCTCCTCCACCAAACTTTACTGCTGGCACTGTGCATTCTCGTAGGTAGCATTCTCATCTGCCAAACCCAGATTCATCCATCAGATATGAAATGTCAGAGAGTGAAGTGTAATTTTTCACTCCAGAGAACGTTTCCACTGCACCCAAGTAAAGTAGTGATGTGTTTTACACCAGTCCAGCCGATGCTTTGCATTACGCCTTTTCATCCTAGGCTTGTATGCAGCCGCTTAGCCATAGAAAACCATCTCATGAAGCTCTCAACGTGCAGTTTTTGTGCTGATGTGGCTTCATTCATACAGAGTTTGGAGCTCTGAAGGGAGTGATGCAACAGAGAATAGGCGCTACATGCTTTAGCACTCAACGGCCCTGCTCTGTGAGTTTGCATGGTCTACCGCTTCATGGTTGAGCTGTTGTTGCTCCTAGACACTTTCATTTCACAACAACAGACTTGTGGCAGAGGTGGCATCCTATGACATGTTTAAGGAATTCAAGGTTAAAGTTTGACCCATTGTGCTGCAAGTGTTTGATAATGGAGAATGCCTATATGATTTATTTTAAACATCTATTAGCAATGGGTGTGGCTGAAACACCTGAAGTCAATGATTAGGAGGTGTGGCCATATAGTTCTGGCCATATAGTGTACATCATGGTACTGATGGAAAACGTATTATGATTTTCTCTTTAGGTTGACTTCAAATTTAGTAACCTCAAATCCAAACACTCATTTTTCTTTTATTATAACTTAAAATGCAATGAACTACACATACATTTAATAAAGCAATATTTGATTTTCCTGTCATGTCTGTCTCAGCTGTCAGCCCAGTGCCGACCTGTGAGAGCCTACATCAGACTCAGCCGTCTGCCTGGCCTATAACCAGCCTGACAGAAATGCCCTCATCATCTTTCAGGAGGTGCCTGGAACTCATCGGCCAGGATCCCTTCTTCAGCTCCTTCCACCTATCAGTGCTGCTTCGCAGAACCAAAGAAGTACCTGGTTCACTTATTTGAATATGCATCAACATAACTGTTTTGCTCAGTTTGCTTTCTTAAAGGGCTGAGATACAATAATAATATTTTTACATGGTCTCTAATGTATGCTGAATGTATAGGTTCAATGCCAACAAGACTTTTCCTTGCATTCCTGGAAGACATTGATCAATGATCAAAATAGAAAACGATAGCAGTACATTTCATCCCTCATGACAGATGCTATTAACATAAGAAGTTGAAGGGGAGCTGTTTACTTAGATTTATGAATGACTGAAGGACTGGTTGTACTTTACACTCCCAGTTTGAAGAGAAAGGCAGGTATTCAGTGTTTTCTGGGAAGGCCAACATTAAAGGGGAATTTCACCGATTTTTCAAAATTGCTGCATAATTCAATCACTGAGATGCAAGCAAAGTCATTCTGAGTGGTTTCATGTAAATCAGTGCAGTATAAAGAAAATCACTGATTTTTTGGTGATAGGAACCTGAGGTCACAATGTCTATTGTCTATGTTTATTTACAATCCAAAAAGGACCAGTGAACCTTTTATATGGAATGTCGATCTGGGTTCTATTTTGCTTTAGAAAGCCCAGCATAAACATATGCACCATGAATAAATACCCCCCCCACCACCCCGCAACCCGTGTGTGTGTGTATGAGTGTGTGTGAATGTGTGTGTGTGTGTGTGTGTGTGTGTTATAGACCAAAACCCAAATCTGTAAGGTAGCCTTTAGGGGCATTAAACACTTTGGGTATCTGGTTCCACCATCACCGTCACTGTGAGAAAGTCTGATTAAGTTCTGAATCAAGTTTCTCTATAATTGTGCATTTCACATCAAATCACTCTGATTGACTTTTTAATAACTAAATCATGATGAAATTTTCCTCTTTAATTAAAGGCCAGTTTAAGTAGTTGGCGATGGTAGATATGCAGGATATGAATTTAGGTATTAAATGTGAACAGTCACGTTTTTATTATATTATCCATCATCAAGTGTAATTTACTTGATCATTTTTATTTATTCACAGTAATGAATACTTTTGTAAATACATCAGAATTAACCAAGTTAACACTTTGGTCTGCCTTTTCCTTTCACATCTGTCTCTCTCTGAAATGTAATTATCAGAATACACTTAATGTATTTATTGTCTGCTTTAATGCAGGTGTATGGTGCGGTCTCCTCCTTCAATCCATATGTTACGGCTGAGCTGGGTAACATTGCCACACAGCTTACAGCTGATGAACTGGCCTCAGTCAAACTCTCTGATATTCGTACTCTATCACCTCTGGGAGCTGTTAATAGCTGGACAAAAAAGCAGGTAACTAACAGTTTAACTAAGAAAGCAGATAGATATATACAGGTTACAGCTGATAAGTGAATATTGGTTTATAAGGAGTAACTTGCTTGACTGAAGTGCGCAAAAGTCAGAGACCACCTGACTTTTTTTATTTTCGGTCAAAAAGGCCATTAAGTACAAGTCATTCATTTTTTTAGTGTCAAGAAAAAAAAAAGCAGAGGACATATTTAGCAGTACATGACATAGAAGCTCTGACTACTAAATATAATATCATATTTTTCAGTATTCAGTGTGTCCAGCCTTTATTACAGTTTCCATTTATTTAATGAGACCTGCTTTCAGTTTTCCAAAGAAATTTGCAGAGATTTCCAGGTACTCCCACACCTCCAAAGTTCAGTCTTAGAAGTTGGTTGCATGAATGACTTGATGGCCATTTTGACAGGAAATTAAATAAATGAAGGTTGATCTCTGACTTTTGCACAGTTCTGTATAAAAGGTACATTTGTGTTATTGGTACAACAAATGCTGATTTGTTGATAAACCATAAAATGTTTGTTCTGTGTCACAGATGGGTGTGTTGTTCTCTGTTGTGCTGAACTCCACCAAACAAACCCCCAGCCAACTGGATTCCAGCTCCTTTGTCGCACTGGGATACATCATTTGTGGGATTGATGTTGCTGTCATCCGCAGTCTCAATCCAGTTGAGTTTAGGTGAGATATTTTTACGTTCACTGCCACTAAAATGTCACACTATAAAAGTGCCCTTCACCTTGTTCACTGTCGTTTTCAGTCCTTGGCTCAATCCCATTTCTTATTTTTAACCCCTAACCCTTGTTTTGGGTTAGGGTCACCTTGCCCCTTGGCATTGAGTTACAAGGGTTAGTGGTTGAAATTTTCCCCTAGAAAATGGGACCCTCAAATAAAAAGAGAACATTACTTTATTAACAGGCTACTAGTGGTGCTCTGTAGGCAACCCGGCCAGTCTGCAGTGACAGCGGAGGAGCAGTATAGTTCAGCAACCTTACTGCTGGTCTTTAATTACATTTAGGGCATCATGTGCCTTCAAAGAGGGGCAGCGCAGCAATTATTTATTAACACCCACCCCTAATTCTTGGGAGAAATGAAGCTGAAGTCAGCTATTCGCTAGCTTCTTGTTCGAACTGTCACATTCCACCTTAAATAGTGTAGCAGTTCTGAATGAACCAGAATGTAACTGCTGCTCCAATTAAGGTGGAATGGGAAATTTTGCTAGCCAGCTACCAAGACATTAGCATACTACTAGCAATTTTTATGCTTGTTATGAAGAAAAGGACCATAACACATTGAAGCAATATTAAACTAAGATAATACAATGGTTATCATAATTTTTTAACAGAGAACATACTCACATGTATGGCTTTCTTTGGTCGCTATCTTGCTGTTTTTTTCGAGTGTGCCTTTGAAAAACCTCAGTTTGGAGGGCCATGTAACAGTAACACTTTGCCCTAACCCTCCATCTCAACAATAATCTGGACACCCTACCCCTAGGCATGAACGTGCAAAACTGAGGGGTAAGGGCTAAGTGGTAGGGGCAAGGGGTGAAATGGGATTGGGCCTTTCTGTGTCTTAATTTTGTGTATATTGCTTAATTCTTTGTCTTTTCTTAATGTCCTGCTGTGTAAGTTTTGGCTCTGGCTCTGGTTCTGATTCTGCTCCTTTCACACACTTGATTCCTCAAACTTGCAGAAAAATGGGCCTAAAGAAACAGGCTGCCAAAACATGATCAGGATGGTTATGAATGAATGACTGTACATAATGCATACATCATTTATCATTAGCAACTTCAGCAAGCACTGTAGAGCAGAGACTCTGTATGAATGATGATGCTTTGTGTTCTGGCAGTAAGGCAGCGCTGTGGCTGGGGCGTCTGAACTTATCCTGCTCCGAGGACCAGCTGCAAGCCATGATCACACTGCTCAGCCACAGTCTGGCGTTTGGGTCAGTCAGTTCGTGGGGCCCAGAGGTCTTCATTGAGATTGGAGCATTTGCTGGTATCGGCCTTCTTTCCTTAAATAGTGAACCTGTAGTTTCCAGAAAAGCTCTAAAAAATTATAATGTGCTTTATTAAAAAATATCCCTGCAGATTTCTTTGAAAAACTAAAGTAAGTCTCCCAAAAAGAACGGAAGCTGTAATAAGGCAAAGTGTAGACGAACAAAACATCGAATAGTTTGATTTTATATTTAGCTGTTGAGGCTTCTTCGTAATTTTCTATTGTGTTTTCTGCTTTTTTTTCCCTGATGCTGAAAAATGAATAACTTAACGGCCATTTCAACTGACAAATAAGTAAATGAAGGGTGGTTTCTACCTAATATTAAGTGCAGTCTGTTCTACTGTGTATATTCTTGAACTAACCATAGATTATGGATGATGAAGGACTAGACTGACAGTAAGAAAGGAAAGGTTGAATATAAGTGAACCAATAAAAAAATTAGGTGGTATGTGAAAGAGAAAGTGAAAATTTATATTTTAAATTAAATTCTTTCAATAAAATCATTTATCAGCCTATTTAAGGCAACTGCTTTGCCCCCACCCAAGTTTTTTTAACACTTTTGTTGACTGCCTTTGTTGACTAATCTGTTTTCAATTGTGTTCACCTCTCCTCCATAGCTGGCATCCCAGATATGGCCATGTCTGCTCTGGTGAAGGAGCAGATTGAGGGAATCACCCCTCTCGCCATGTCTCTCATTCCAGCCAAAAAATTTGCAGTGAGTGATTTAAATGCTTTGTTTGAATTGATCCCCTAATCACTATTCAATACACTGGAAAATCAGGAGCACTAAAGAACAAGGGAGGTGAAGTGAAGTAAGCAATGTCATACACTAATGTTACCTTTGTTTGCTCATCACTCTGTGTGTGCACTGGATATTCTCCACTGTGTTTTCAGACACTACCACAAAATGTTGCAATGTACACCGATCAGCCATAACATTAAAACACCTCTTCATTTCTACACTCATTGTCCATTTTATCAGCTCCACTTATCATATAGGTTCACTTTGTAGTTCTACAATCACAGACTGTAGTCCATCTGTTTCTCTGCATACTTTGTTAGTCCCCTTTTACCCTGTTCTTCAATGATCAGGACCCCCACAGGACCACCACAGAGCAGGTATTAGTTGGGTGATGGATCATTCTTGGCAATGCAGTGATGTGGTGGTGGTGTGTTCGTGTGTTTTGTGCTGGTATGAGGGAGTGTTTAAACACCTCAGTGTCTCTGCTGGACATCCAGCCAACAACGTCCTGTGACCACTGATGAAGGACTAGAGCATGACCAAAACAAACATAAACAAATAGATGAACTATTGTCTCAGACTTTTACATCAACATGGTGGACCAACAGGGTAGGAGTGCCTAATAGAGTGGGCAGTGAGTGGACACAGCGTTTAAGAACTCCAGCAGCACTGCTGTCTGATCCACTCATACCAGCGCAACACACACTAACACACCTAACACACACAGTGTTACTGCAGTGCTGAGAATGACCCACCACCCAAATAACACCTGCTCTGTGGTGGTCCTGTGGGGGTCCTGAGAATTGAAGAAAAAGGTGAAAGGAAGTTAACAGAGTTTACAGAGAAACAGATGGACTACAGTCTGTAATTGTAGAACTACAAAGTGCACCTGTATAGTAAGTGGAGCTGATAATATGGACAGTGAGTGTGGAAACAAGGAGGTGGTTTTAATGTTTTGGCTGCTTGGTGTATAATGAACTGGGCGTAGATTTGAACATGGCCACACAAAAACAATTGTTCTGTTGTTCCCTGGTTTGACAGAGAATACTGAGTGCTGTTGAAACTCAGCTCAGCTGTTTGGCTGAATTTTCCTCTTTGTCTTGCTTTCCCTGTCTTCAGGTCATATTCAACCAGGCCCAGATCAGTGTGTTCTCCTACGAGCAGGCTGCAGCTGTCACTGTGGCCCAACGTTCAGCGCTGAGCTCAGTACAGGAGACAGCATTGTCCATGGTGCTCAACCCTCTGGAAGACAAACCTGTGGATTTCAGAGGTGCATATATGTGACACATATCACCCAGTCATATATAATCACTTGAGAAAGCCACATACATTTTTTGGTTTTGTTTATATTTTTGACATCATTTGAAATGCTAATTGCTTTTACATTGTGTGAACATTTTATGATAAATCAACCAATAACAGTCCAAAATAACATTGTACATTAAAGTTTAAAATGTTTTTTCCATTACCGATATTTTGTTTTAAAGTTTATTTATGATAGTGACAATACATATGGATCTTTCTATTGTGAAGTGACTATACCAAACCCTAACCCCTAAATTTCAACTTGTGAAAATACTTTTTTCCATGTTTTTTAAAAGACCTTTTTGATTTTTTAAAGTGAAATTGAAATTTTTATTCAAACTTTTTATTCAAAATTTATATTCAGAAAATGCTCTTGGTGACATTATGAGCTGTTAGATCTCATTGTTTTGAAGTAAATGTGTTCCAAAGTTTGTAAATCAGTGTGTATCATTTAGAATTGTCATTACCTAAACACATATTTTCTATAACTAAGTGAACTTTTTTGTGCTTAATAAAAATATTATGATTTTATGTGTACAACTGTTCTAAAATTTGCTAAAATTGCCTCTACCAAAAAACCACTACTGAAAAAATTTTGTAAAGTTTTGGTAGTGTTGATGAATGTTTTGGTGGTGATAAAATGGAAGGTTTGATCATTTGTTTTAATAAAATAAACATAATAAAGGCATAGGGTCATTCAAAGCAGAAGGATTTTAGTCTGAGGTCCAAGTTAGTTAAAAGTCTGAAAACACTGACTTTGAATAAATTCGATAGAATGATCCATACAACCAGGAATGTAGAAAAGTCAGAGACCATCCTTTTATTTATTTCATGTTCCAGCTAAGAATTTGTAGCTGGAATTACTTGGATTATGAGAAACTGAAAATGCAACCAACTAAGACTGAACTTTGGAGGTGTTTATTAGAAGCATTGAAGAATATCCTGGCAGATTTCTTTAGAAAAACTAAAAGCAAGTGTCCTGAAAAGAATGGAGGCTATAAAGGCAAATGGTGGACACAATAAATAGTGAAAACATGATTATTTTTTAGAGTTGGGGGCTATTGTGTACTTTTCAGTTTTTTATTTGATAGTGAAAAATTGGTAAAAACTTGTATTTAATGTCCATTTTACCAGGAAATTGAATAAACAAGAGGTGGTCTCTAACATTTGCACAGTACTACATGTATTTCACTGTGATTTTTGATTGATGTTATTATTGCTGTAACTGTCCACAGCAATGATGATTTGCAACATGAATGCTTGTTTACTCTTACACTACTATAGATAAAGCCTTTTCGAATTAAATCCATGTCTGTTGTATGTGTCCACAGGCAGGTCATTTGGAGTAGCAACAAGCGTCTGTCCCATCTGCCATCTCTGCAGTCTGCTGGTGCTGACGTTGACATTTCTCTTCACTGACTCTCTATGATCAACTATCTCTCCAATTTTCATGAAGAGTTATATGAGACTTGGACTTTTGCGCTGTTGACCTTCCTAAACAAGTGCAATATTCTGTTTTCTTAATGGCACTTTAAGCTGACCACTGAATGGATTACCTCATGGGGTTTAGGCATGAAATGCAATTCTATAAATGCCTGATTAGCATTTATATTTATTTATTTATTTAACTCACATGTTATTATATTTATTCAGGTGTATCATGGTATGTCCGCATCCAAAGATTTGGTTAATGTCATGTATCTATAAGATGACATTTCAATTATATTTACACTTTGTTAATTACAGTACAAGGATTGTAGGGACTGTTTGAATGTGTGATGCTGATTGTCCAACAGCAAGTTATCTACTCTGACTTACTATAAAGCTGAATTTTGTTGACCACAGTGCTGTAAAGCAATATAGTGCTTCATTCCTAACCTTATCTATTTACCTCTATATTCAGGGTCTTGTGTCATAAGCCTGAATGTAAACACAAGTAATAAGTAATATTTAAGTCCTGACAATTAAAGTATGGAAGCTCTTTAACATGTTACTGTCAACAACAGCATAAAAGCTTAAGGATGTTAAAATTGGCTGAAGCTGCCAAGTTCTGAACTAAGTCTCTCTTGAAGTCTCAGTGTTTTTCCTGCTCTAACACAAATTTAACCTCATTAAAGCATCACTATGGAGGATTTGGAGATATGGAGACATCTCTGGTGGAAATACGTAATTGCATGCAACATATGACTTGCGATGATGAGTGAATTATTTACTGTTGTCGTTATATCTTCATCAGTATAATGAATATTTTACATTTGAGACTTAAACATCGAGTTGGACCTTCTTTTTGAGCCTGTGCATGTGACGTCAATTTGTAAAGAAGTATAACGTGGTCCGGAAAACTCCTGCCAAATCCGTCCCTGTACCTGTGACTTTTAAAAATTTTCAAGCTTTACAGGGTGACTCGCAGTGGTGTACCATGCTACTGCATGCTACTCATACTACAACAAAACTTTAAAATTTCCAGCACTGCAGGAACAGGGAATGGGATACACTGTTAAAATGTACAAAATCTAATTCAGAAATGTTGGACATGCGAAATGCTTATAAAAACAGAAAACAGTGGTTTGTGAATCTACTTTCACCTGTATTTAAACAAAAGCAGTACAAAGACATTTATTTTTTCATCTTTTTACCTTCATTGTTTTGCAAATATACACTCACTCAGAAATTGATGTCTGCAACAAGTTCTAAAAAGGTTGGGACATGGATAGCTTAAGACTAGGAACACTGTGAAATGTTCAAGAAAAATCTTTAACAGATGATGCACTCATGATTGGGTATGAAAGGAGTGTCCAGGAAAGGCCTAGTCCATTAAAAAGCAAGCATTGGTCAACGCTCTCCACTTGTGTCAGCGAATAATCTAACATTCTAACAATCTAGTAATCCAACAACACTCCTTGATGTGCAATTGCAGGGATTTTAGATGCTTAAATCTCTACGGTGCATGAAATCATCAAAATATTTATGGAACCCAGAGAAATCTCTATGCAAACAGGGCAAGAACCACACTTGAATGGCTGTGGCCTTTGATACTGCAGACAGCCCTGCATTAAAAACCAACATGCTTCTGTGATTTTTATCACCACAAGGGTTCAGAAATACCATTGTGAATACACTGCATGTCACTGTATCCACAAATGCACATTAAGACTGTACTATGCACAGTGAAAGCCTAAAGTCCAGAAACACTGCCGAGTTCTCTGGGCTTGAGCTTATCTGGAATGGACTGATGCACAATGAAAACATGCACTGTTGTCTGACCAGTCCACCTTTCAGATTGTTTATGGAAAGAACATTCAAAGTGTTCTCTGGGCCAAAAAACAAAAGGACCATCCATACTGTTACCAGCATAATGTTTAAAAGGCAAGGTTTGTCATGATAAGGGGGTATTAGTAAATAGCTTGCACATCTTCGAACACACCAATTATGCTGAAAGGTATATACACATTTTGGAGCAACATGCGCTGCCTTCAAGACGATGTCTTTTTCAAGGATGTCGATGATGGCAGCAAACCACATTCTGCATGTGTTACAACAGCATGGCTGTGTAATCGAATAGCGCGGGTGCTACACTAGTCCAAACCAGTCCAGGTGCATTATGAAGCACAGAATATGACAACAAAAACTCTGTATGGTTGCACAGATTGCTTAGCAGGATACTGGCAAAAAAATATTCTTTTAAAACTAGATCAATTATCTTCTTATTTTCAGTCCCTAAAAGAGTATTAAGTGTTGTTAAATGGAAAGGTGATGTAACACAGTGGTAAAAAGGCTTCCGTCCCAACTTCTGTGAAACGTGTTGCAGGCCCCATATTTGGGGTGACCATATGTTTACAAAACAAAAAAAAGTTCATAAGATAAAATATCAAATATTGTGTTTGTGTACCGTTTTTAATTTAATAAAGGCAAAACAGAATTTCAGCTAATCTCAGCTTTCTGTTTTTATTAGCTTTTCACTTACTGTCCCAATATATTTAGAATTGGGTTTGTATTTTTTACATTGCATATTTTCAGAATTAATGTCAGCATTTTGTCCTTTTGAATTTGTACTGTTGCGAATTTACTATGGCTTTATGAGTCATCTGATAATTAAAAAGGGTGCTTACAAAAGGATGTAGTGTGTTTGCTTTACAACAGTGTTTCTCAGCCTTGGTCCGGGAGGCCCACTGTTCTGCACTTTTTAGTGCTTTTCCTGCTTTAAAGCAGCCACTTTAACTCAATAATGGGCTGTTAATGAGCTGATTTGTTGGATCAGGTGTGTTGGGAGCAGGAAAAGCACTAAAAAGTGCAGGGCACTGGGCCTCCAGAACCAGGGTTGAGAAACACTGCTTTACAGTACAATACCTCTTAACAATGTGAGAGCTTATGATGAACTTCATATAGCTCTCGGATCCCTGTGGAACGCACTAAATAGTACATGAAATGATGGCTGCCTTCCTCACTCAAAAACAGGCAGGTAAAGTAGCCTAAACCCTCAAGTAAAAATATTGTCACTTTAATGTAAAAAAGATTCAAGCAGAAGTAAAAGTAGCATTGGTGAGTGATATATGTAAATGATCTGGGCTGAAAAACTTATAGCTTCAGCATGAGTGAACAGAGCTAAACTGCTTTAGGCTGAATAGGTTGATAGGTATGCAAATGCACTGTATTTCTCAAAATGCTGACTTAATATCACTTATTCTCTTAAAATATTGACTTAGTATCTCTGAATAATTACATCTTTTTGAGATTTTGAGTTAAATCTGACATATTTTGTCAACAGTGAGTTATTGAATGTCAGAAAAGTAAGGAATTGAAAGGTTTTGTTCCAAAGTGCTATATATCCTTTTGTAATGACTTTGAATATAAAAAGGTTTTGGAAAAAAAAAAAAAACAGCTGATGTTGAAAAACACTTTTTATTTATCTAATGAAGGTTGTATTATCATAATATAGCATTGACATTTCTTGTGTGTGTGTTTGTGTGTGTGTGTGTGTGTGTGTGTGTGAAGCCCACTCCAAAATGACCCTTGAAAGTGGTCTATATGAGTTTTGCCAGCAAACCATTCATACTTTGGAATAATACATAATTATTTCATAATTAAATAATTTTAAATAATTTAAATGTTTCATGATATACATTGTAAGAGAGTGGGCTTTACACATACAAGAAATATCAATACTATATTATAATTCATATCACCTTTATTAGAGAATTTAAAATGTGTTTTCCAATTCACTACAGATATTACTATTAAAAAAAGTTATTTCTACAACTGTTGGAAATGGGTGTACAGCGTTTTGGAATAAAACTTTATTTTGAGAAAATACATAATTATTTTAAAACAGTAACTTAATGTTTTAAGAAAATGAGTCATTATAAAAACATAATCAGTCAGAATTTTAAGTAAATAACTGAAAATGTTGACATACTACTGACAGAAACAGACAGAGACACAACAGCTGAGCTTCTACCTGCTGAGAGGCTCAGTCAGGCACTCTGTGCTCCACACGGGGGCGCGCGAGCCGTTATCGTCATGAACGCGCTCGAGTCCTCCCGGATCCCGTCCACTTCAGTTCACTGAGAGCGCCTCGCAGTTCGGCGCACATGCTTTAATCAGCTAACTTAGCGAAGAGTCTGACAAACCCGCACACGCACAAGATGGCGGACTCCGACTCATGGGGTAAGAACTACACATGTAGAGCTCTTATCTTCTTCTGAAGGTGATGTTCATTAAATGCCCGGCACCAATGTGTATTTGTTGTTGTTGTAACGGTAGACGCGGATAACTTCGAGCCGATTGAGCCGATCAAGAAGACGGCAGGGCTCCAGGACAGATGGGAAGGCGAGGACGAGGAAGACGACGTGAAGGTAAGTTAGTGAGCCAACTTTCATTACAGAGTTAGTTTGAGGAATTCGTATGCCGTTGAATAAGCCGCGGTGACTGTCTGTTAAAAAGCTGTATGCACGCTGGCTCCTTATGTTTTTAGCCCTTCAGCTAGCCTACAACGTTAGCCAGTATTGGGTTTGGTCGGTATTAGTTAGCTAGCGAGCTAACCTTAGCTGAAATAGCGGTCTGCTCCAGTTTCTGGTATTGTAAAAGTTAGCTTTCTAGCTAATGAGATGGCGCTGTGGCTCGCTGACGCCGAAACATTAGCGTAACGTTAGCCAGCCTGATAGCACAGTCTGAAGTTGGTCAACTAGCTAGAAGTGTACGCTGAGAGCTAAGCTATGTAGCTTTCAGAAGAGAAGAGAAGTCGGATTTGGATTAAATAACATTCACGCGTTCACACCCAGGGCTAATAAATATTAGTTTTCAAACTGACCATTAGTGCCTTCATATTAAGCTGAACTGAACGGTGGAAGGTAACGTTAAGTGACGGGCCGCGGAGGAGCGCGTGTTAGCACGCTGGCTATCTGGGTTCTCCACAGGTCCTCGTATTACAGCCATTTCACAACCGTAGTGTCGGTTTATGTTCGCGTTCATTCTTGTGACACCACGGCCACTGTAAAGGTACTCAGAAACGTCGTCGTAGTTGCTTTGCTTATTAATTTAACATAGTTAACTGGACCGCTAACAGTTTCTAGCAAACTTGCTAGCATAGCCTGCTGGTATGAACATGCTGACAGGCCCTGGAGCGCCAGATGGAGCTTTTCACTCACAGATTGTACCGTGGTGCTCTGTCTCGCATCTATATGATTCACGAAATTCGACGAAAAGTCATATTCATATTTAGTGTGTCTAACACAAATACCCGCGTATTATTATCTCGCAAACCTGAAACCGGCTGACAGCAGCTGGTTGCGTTTTGTTGGCCGGTACCGTGGCGGTATCGTATGACTGAACTGAGTCATGCTGCGTCTTGCAACTTTTGACACTGGCTGATACTTCAGAGTGATCTAGAACCCTCTCGGATGACACGTTTTCACTTCCCCCTCCATTTCAGTCGCCTGGTCTGTGTTATCAGTGAACAGTATTTCTATTTTTTGGAACGCATTTCTGGAAAGGACTGGCTGGCTGGAGCTTTTCAGTAGCCAGTGACGTACAAATGTACTCTGTAAAGGGGTCATCAGCATTGATTCCCAGCATAGCTTTATTTTGTATTTATTTTATTTTTTGTTGCTGTTTATACTTAGTGTATACAATATTTTCTTATGTTTTATTAACATTCAAGCATCGTACTGTAGTCCCATATTACCTTTTGGACTACCACTTGTATATTCATTGTTCAGCACTGATTCTGCTGTCAGGTAATCTGGATTTTTTTATTGAGAGAGTTTTGTGGTGATGGTTACATCAGAATTTTTAGTGGAGAATGAAACCTATTCAAAGAAAACAACTGCTTGACTTGCAATCGCAAGCAGTGTTAGTCAAGTAGTGAAGTGTTGTACTACAAATATAAGTACTAAATTGGAAATGGCAGAGAATGTGAAAGTTGAGGTATTTTTAATGAATGTACACCAGATATCACATACCTCACATCATAAGGTGCATTTAAGTTTCTAATTTCATATCAGCAGCTCACCTTTATTTGATTGATATTCAATGTTATTCTAGCTATTGTTTAAAAAGAGAGGCATTTTGCAGCTTGCTGAATTCTGTAAGCCTGAATATTATGTGCATTTTGTACTTGAATGTTCATTTTTTTGGCCACTTTTTTTTGTGAAATTAGGGTGTCTTAAGTGCTCTTTTCTCATGCAGGACAATTGGGATGATGAGGAGGAGGAGGAGGAGGAAGAGGAGAAGGTGGAAGAGAAAGGAACAGGTGCTGCTTTTCACTGAATTGTAGTGTAATGGGCAAACTATTAAGAAACTATTAAGTATGGTGGTGGAGTAGAAAACGTGTGGTGGACAAAGCCTGGTGTGATACATTATGGTAGTTATGTAAACCTAATGTAGAGTTATGTAGTATTGACTGATTTAGGCCTAAACTAATTCTTAGAAACCATGAAACTATGTGGAGTCTTACCTTCATCTTCAGGTTGAACACTGATATCTGTGTTGTCTATGAATCTTTTGAATGTTAATATGTTGTATGGCAGCTGGATTGTCCCTTTACATCTAACACCGGTGTATTTCTGTCTCTGACAGAGGTGAAAGCTCCAGAGAAGAAAAAGCCGGGTGCTAAACTCAAAGAGAAAGAAAATGAGAAACAGAGGAAACAAGAGGAGCTCAAGAAGAGGGTGAGTTGTACAAACTGACAGGTAGTTGGCTTTCTGGATTAAATTCCTCTGTTTATGAAGGATTTTCTGTTGAGTCTCTTGAGTTTTCTATTATTCTTAAGTCTTTATAGGCCAGGACTAAACTGTGCACATGGTCAATGTTTAGGCAGGTTCTGAATGCTGATAAAGAACTATTCTCCTACTTTAAGGTTCCTTATAAACTCGTCTTAGCACTGTACACCATCCTATCATCTTTTGAAGATGAACTGGCAGTCGTATTTTAACTGAAAATCTAAAAGGTTATATAATACAGCCCTACAGTACATTTCTGGAAACATATTTAATATTCTCGTTTTAAATGTTTGAATAGTTAGAGGAGTCCCAGGCTGACGTGCAGCTCAGCCCTGAGGAGCAGGCAGCAGAGAAACTGCGTTTGCAGAAGCTGCAGGAGGAGTCAGACATGGCGCTAGCACGTGAAGCTTTTGGTAAGACCTTTCTCGTGAACAATAATGGCAAGAGTAAATTAATGCAGAACACATGATCTGTGCACTCTTATAACTAAAAAAATAAAAGCATTTTTCAGTGGTACTTGACTTGGACATACAGCTTTAGGAAAAACCTTTAAATGGTATAAAGCCTTTACATTATGTGGAGGTTCTTTAATCTTTCTTTACCCTCACACTTCATTCATAGATTGTTCTTTAAACACCTCTGCTCAAACTCTTAACATCTGGAGATATAGGATATAGAGGATGTGTTAACTTATTTTCACAATCACCAAAACATTTAAATTGGCCAGGGGTGCACAGACTTTTGTACATGACTGTATATTTGTTTTTTAAGGAACCAAAAGTTGTTGTCCTGTGATCTTGCTCCAGAGAACCCTTTTTGGCACATTCATTTTTGAGTGTGCATGAACCAAGTGAGCAAGTTTCTGTTCAGTTTCTTTTCTGTCAGTTTTTTTGCAATTGCTTGTGTCTTTATGTAAGATTGTTTATGTCTGCAAACATCCCAAAGGGGAGCGCTTGCTGGTTCACTTGCTGATAAAATGAGAAACCCTTTAGTTTTGTCTTTTTATTACAGTTCATTGAACACCATACTTTAGGTAAACAACCCCCAACTAATTTCAGTTTGTGGGAAAAAACTTTGTTTCTTTATGGAATAGAAGACATTGTGATTAAAGCCTGCTGTACCTCGCAGCACGCGTGTGCTCCTGGCCATTTTACTTGTATGGGGATTTGTGAAAGAAACCTCTTTCACAATTTCAAGTTGTTAATGTTTCTGTTTCCTTTGCTCCCCTTGAATAAATGCTTTGCTGTCAAAAACATTGACAACTGTAGTTACTTGACCAGCTCATCTCTTTTAACCTTTAATTGCAGGTGTTGACACAACTGTTACTACAAATAGTGCCTCTGGAATTGAAGCCATGTGTCCCTCAACTAAGGATGACTTTGTAGTTTTTGCAAAGTTGCTGAAAGACAAGATATCACAGTTTGAAAAGTCAGTGCATTATTCCAGCTTTTTGGAGTCACTGTTTCGGGAGCTTTGTATTTCATGTGAGTGCTGTTCATCCTCCTGTTTTTATACTTAGTTTTTCATGGCAGGTTATGAGTACTTGTCAAGTAGAGGGCACTCTCCTGAGCAACTGTAGTTAGTACCTAACTATGCTGCATGTTGCTAGCTGTATCAAACCTAACAAAGAAGTGTTTAAGTGAATTCAGCTTTGCTGGATCAACGGTAGACAACAAAATGTAGGTGCACACTGCGCCAATAACCGCATTAATCCACAATTTTTGCAGACTAGATTTTGTTTTTCATGTTGCTAAAATGTTACTTTCTTTGTGTCACTCTTGCAGTGAATTATTAAGGGAATAGGTCATACTGTGTAATCCAGAGAGGTGTGTTCATTTTCATTGATGTGCATTTGTTGCTGTATTTTTCACAGTGGAAGTAGATGACCTAAAGAAAATCAGCAATTCCTTGTCAGTCCTTCTGAGTGAAAAACAAAAGCAGGAAAAGGTGAGTTGTGAGCTTATTCCTCCCTCCAGTAAACACTAAGCAGTCTTTTAGGGTCTGATGACTGGCAAAGGTGTAGTCCCACATCCCTGCAGTAGGGGGAGCCTTTTGTCTTTTAGTTACTCAAGCCTTATCCGCATAGGGTCAGTATGACTGAAGGTTTTCATTCCGGCTAGAGCTGGGAGATATGGCCAAAAATGTTATCACGATAAACAAAATTCATATCAGTCAATATCGATACATACCGCGATAAATGTTAAATTGTTACTTCTTTCAAGTTTGAAGGCTGATTTTTGCCCCGAGTGGTTAATTGCTGTTTTAAACTGTCCTTTAACATGACAAACACTCGCCAAACAGAAGAACAATTCACAAATCTGTCATGAGATAATGGGAGAAGGTTTCTGATTGGCTGTTTTTACCAGCTGGAAAACACAGCTGCAATTTTTGTAATGTTCATAATTTAAGAAAGAAAACAGATTATTTTTAGCTGTCTGGTGACACAATATATCTAATGCTCGCTGTGTAAAAGCATTAACTGCAGTGTGATTCTCTCACACCAGACAGAGTCCTCCTCTTTGGTACGTTTAATCTGAAATCAGTGCTTTGTCTTGTTTGATATACAGTTTCATCAATTCGCTGTGCTGTGCAAGTGACAGTGCTGCTTCAAGTTAGCCAGCTGCTAAAAACAGCTAGCCTGGGAAGCTAGTGTTCTTTCTCTTTCCAATGCCCCACAGCATCTTCAGTTTTCTTTCATTTAAATCTGTGTCTTGCATGAACCCACTTCTTTCTTTCACTTTTTTAGCTTGGGAATGCACTAATACTAAAATATGACTGTTCGAGCGCTGTAGTTGTGAGGAGCAGATGTGATTTAACGCTGCTAAAGCTTGTTATGGTGTTGGGATAGAAGTTAGTTCACTGGCCAGTACAGTTACACCACTTATCTCGTCACTGGCACTTGGTCACAGGAGAACAGATCGCCGATCGCTCCACTCAAACAGGGAATATCACTCCGCCTTTCAGACATTGCTAAAGTATATTTAGGACTCATTTTACTAATTGCCCCTCCCTCTCTAATCATGTTGAAAAACCCGGAAGTGCACCCTCTCGTGGCGACAGCAGAGTAGTGTCGCTTTCCTTGCAGTAGAAAACGCCAACAGGGCTGCCGCTAGAATGTGGAAGTGTGAGAATGGTGTATTATATCAAATTTATCAAACCTTTTTTATCGCTCTATCGAGGACAAGTTATATCACGATAATTATTGTTATTGTTTTATTGTCATGATCAGTTGTTTTAAAGACTAAAACCAGTTGTTTAAAGGAGTGCAGTCAGGTGCACTGTTGCTTGCCTGGAATAAGAACCTGGAGTCACATCGTCCCTTTGTTGATAATATTGAACACCCATGTTCTGCCATGTATAATCTGGGTTCATAAAGGCTTTTTCTATGATCCAAATGTATTTGTGTTGTCCTAAAGAATGGGATAAGTCTGTCTTTGCTTATATGTTGTCTCTTGATGTTTTCCATAGGAAAAAGCCAAAAGCACTAAGAAGAAAAAGAAGACTCTTGGCGGAGGCGGATTGAAAGCGACACTGAGAGATGACTTTAATGATTATGGAGACTTTGATGGCGGCTACAATGATTATGAGGACTTCATGTGACGAAGGCTAAACCCAACCCCCTGCCCTGTCCCAACTTTCCTGTTTGCCTCTGTACCCAAATCACCCCTCAGACATGCAGCAGCACCCCCCTCATATTTATCAGTGCCATCTTGAACTAAACTGAACACTGTGTCAGCCCTTTACTTTTGCTTCAGTGGTCAAAACAACTCTTAGTGAAGCTGCTATCACCAACATTGCCCTTTGGTGACGAAAGGAAAATATATCAAATTGCCTTGTATTTACAACTCTGCCTCCAACAAAGACTTTAGGACATGAGACATCTTTTGCACAAGTGTCTTCTCTGATTGGCCTAAACGAGAATTGCAATGCCTTATAGAACACCTCATAGAAACGTGTTTATTTTGGTTGAACTGAAATGGCTGGTGGTGTTAACTTCTGAGCAATTTTATTTACATAGAAAGAATTGATATTCTATGCAAAATAGTTCTAAAGAATGTCTAGACAGAAGTTTGGATATTTTGCTCTTCTTGTGGATGTATCTGCAGAACAGTATATGGTATCTACATCTTTGATGGCCAGTCATCAGCAACATCAGATGCACATAATTCAATTTTTATTCTATAAAAATCAGTCTATAAAAGTCAGAGCTTTTACAGTAGGACACTACACGAGGAGCAGTGATGGCACACTGACTAAAAAGGGATGGAAAAGCAAAAACAAAGTACAAATACATTAAAACATTTAGCATCGTCTTGGAAATGCTATTAAAAGATCAGTAATCAATTTTTGAAATAACCTTCATGTGTGGAAGGTTTTACAGTATGCCATTGGGTTTATTTGGGGGGGCTCATTTAAAAGTTTACTTTGCTCTCATGCAGGTAGATTTAAATTACTACTAATGCAGGAATGTGGGGCTCAGTCTTTTGTTATAGCTTCTGCAAGCTTGTATCAAGTAAGAGAAGGAGCAAGCTCTCGGGCTGAACAGACTAAATGTCTGCTCACCTTCAACAATATTTGACATCTGAGGTTTTGTTTCTAACCATTTGAAAAGATTTGCTTTACAAGATACAAAAAAAACTGGTGAATGATAGATCGGTGGCAAGACTCCAGCAGTGTTTTTTAAGGATCTAATTTAATAAAAATCATTGGTCAAAAGGAATTTCTTGATAGTGTGTTTTGTAGTTTTATTTCACAACTTTCTTAGTTATATTTCAAGTAAGTGAATCAAATACACTTGACATTTGTATACTTTGGTATTTGGGTGATTGAAGTCCTGTTATCTATGAAATAAATATCCCATTATTTACAGTTTCAAGTAGTAAATATGTATCACAGTACAAGTAAATAGAAAGTATGTGATCAAAAATAACAGTTAAAGTAATTTAAAACCAATGTTCCTGGATGGTTCTGAAAATAAGGTGTGCTAAATTTTTACCAAGTTAGTAACATTCCTAAACATACCGCTGTCATTACTGTGAAACTGCTGACACTCCCATCTTAAGTCGTAAGTGTGCTTGGAGTGCTGAAGAAATATTCAATGAAGCTGGATTTATGGGTTAGCAAGATAACTTTTGTTTTACTGAGATGAGTTGATCATTACTGTGGGTTCAGCGCTGGGTATATTTTATATGGTCTAACCCATCAATCAAGTTTCACAGTGCATCATGTCGTTTTTAAGAATGTTGCATCAGCTATAATAAACCTACTTTAGCTGCTTTACAGATAGTCCAAAGATGATGGACCATCAGTGGATTTGGCATAGCTCTTCTGCAGTAGGTGTTGCCAGCTCATCTTCTTTCGCCATGCTCATTAATTGTTTTGACCTTCAGCCTGTGGTTTGGGAACGTTTGTTGGGATTGCGAGTGCTCCTTCTCCGGCTATTGCGGCGTGCTGCTGAGGAGTCTCCTCTCTGTCTTCTGTTGCCTCGTCCTGGCTGAGCGCTTCCTGCTATGGCTCGGCCGGGTGAATTCTGGAGCTGCTGGAACACACTCTGTCTGGTGACTTCTTTGTCACCACAGGTGAAGGTTAGAGCTACACCTTCATTGCTCTTCATAACTCGGGAGGTGCCATCTGATGTCCCATCAAAGCAACGACCAAGTGCTATCTCCTTAGCTGTGCGAGGATCTTGGTCAGTGACGGTGTAGATGCCATAGTTATGGCCAAGAGGGTCTAAAGGCGCAAGCATGGTGAACTCATTTGTATCGTTGTTGACAGCCAGTGGAAGGTGGTTGACCAAGTATTCTTGTAGCATACTGTTAACACCGTCTCGCTTGCAGCTGCCCTGAGGGATCACTTTTACAAGGGTACGATCCACTCTGTCCTGGTCATAGAGCATGCCACTGCATTTGAACTCTAAACAGACGGCTGAGACAGATGACTGGTCCATGTCGCGGATGCTGCGGATGTCACGAATGCCATACAACTGGCCAACGGTCCTTGGATGGGTGCCTCCCATGTTGCGAGAACGAACATTGATTTCATGAGGGCTGTTGATTTTGACTTTGATATAGCAAGCCCTGTATTCCATTGGCTTTGGCCACCAGCTCAGGTAGTCTTCTGTCCAACTCATGGGATCGTCCTCATTGAAAGGAACCGTGTTGTAGTCGTAGCGATCTCCCTCAACTCTTGAAAAGCGGAAGTGAGGTGCACTAAATGGAGCCTCCTCACATTCCTTCAGCTTTTCAAATGGATAAATCGGGCCGTTTGCTTCCTCAGCTGTGTTCGGACTGGGCTTTGCTACGTTGATGCTGAAAGCTGTCTTCTTGATTCTGGCATCATCGTGGTCTGTTCGTCTGTAGTTCAGTTTATTCAGATATGGTTGGGGGACACCAATGATATTGGGATTTAATTTTGGAGCTGAAGCCACTGCCTCCAGTTCTTCGCCTCCAAGGTTGGCCATGATGTACGCAGAATATGCATCTGCTCTCTGTTCATCACAGAAGGCAGGTAGACAAGCACCATTAGGGCCAGTGATTACACTGTCGAACCTTCCCCAGGCACGAGGATTGCTTGAGTAGCCAGCTGTAGGCTCCATATTGATCAAGGTCGTCACGACACCCTCAACTTGCTCACTTGGCATGAAGCGTTCGCTGCGGAAGGCACGGACCTTAACGTAACATCTCCTATTTTCAGGTACGTCTAAATTAAACAGCCTTCTTTCTCTGATTTCCATGTTGCCAATAAGGAAGGTCCTCTCTTCTCGTTTTCCTCGTTGCTTCTTCTCCAGCTGGAACTGTCCCTCTTCTTCCCAAAGACCAGTCTCAGGGTTGAGGGACCACAGCTTCATTGTCTTCAAGTGTTCAGACATCTTCACTTGAGCTGCATCAAGACGAACTTTAACTTCTCCAGCATTTAGCGGTTCGCTGCTCTCCTTATCCCGGAAGTCAACTGAGAACATGCCATAGGTTCTCAAAGGCAGTGTGTCACCTTCAGCATCAACAAAGTTGAGATCACTCTGAGCAGCAGCTGCTGTGGATACATCTCTTGGGTCCAGGAAGGTAACGCTGGCCTGAACGTCACCTACAAACACCTCACCATTCTCTTTGTAGAAAGCATTGGGTGGAATCTCAATCTCAGCCATGGGTTCCTCTCCTTTTACCTCTCCAAGCTCTAGTTTGTTGGTTTCTGTGGAGCGAATGGTGACAGGAGGCTTCTTCCTTAGCAGTTTGATCTCATGGTATACAGCCCCACCTTTAGAATTGAACAAAAGTACTTTGGTAGTGTTCACAAACTTTTGCATATTGTCCACGAAAGTAAGAACTAGCCTTTCAGTGCCAGTGGGTACTTGGATGGAGAATGCGCCCTTGTACCCTGTTCGACTAACCCTCACACCATCCATGTAGATGTGTCCAAATCTCATGGGCTCTCCAGTATCTGCAGCGATAGCACGTCCACGAACTATAGCTTTTGTATCAACACATTTTTTACAGCCACATTGTGTGACCATCATTGTGGGTAACTGGTAGCCTTGACATGTTATTTGTCTCTCTTCCATCTTGGACACTCCACAGCAGAAAGATATGGAATCTTTGCATCGAATACCATTGTCCAGCTGGCCAGTACACGTTCCTATAGGGCATCTTCCTACATCGTAATAGAATGAGTTTGTCTGGTTCTGGAAGCAGTCATGAGGCAGGCGGATCAAGTGGGCTTCAGGCTTCGGGTTGCATGATGGTTCATCTTGATCTTTTGATAGAAAGAGGTTAAAATTTAAAAAGGGAAAAGCTAAAAAAGGTACACAAAGTACACTGCTGAATATACACTGACCAGTCACATCATTAAGTGCACCTACCTTGTATCTAGACTTATTGTCCATTATATCAGGTCTATTAGCCATAGAGGTGCACTTTGTAGTTCTACAATTACAGACTGTGGTCTGTAACAGGGTAAAAGAGAGCTAGCAAATTATGCAAAGAACCAGATGGACTGCTATAATTGTAGAACTATAAAGTGCACCTGTAAGGTATGGACAAAGAGTATAGCTTTAAGTATGTGTACTTAATGAATTGGTCAGTTGGTGTATATGCAGTATAATATTTGCATTTCCTTACCAATAACTGTGAGGGTGGCTGGCTTTGATTTAATAGCTCCATTCTCATTACTGGCTCTGCAGTAGTACTCTCCAGCCTGGTCCATCTGGAGGTTCCTCAAAACCAAAGTCTCATCATACTGATATCTACTTTTCTGAAGCAGACTTCCATTGTGAAACCTGGGAAAAAATATCATTACTCAACATTTGGTTTGTATCTAAAGCAATTTGTTGGTTTAAAACTATGCTTGTTGTGGTAAAATTGAGATCACTAATTCTATCCATTTCAAACTCTTTTTCCTGAATAAGAACCATTATGTCTGATTAACATATAAAAAAGTACTGATTGCTATGACTGTCTTATAGTTGAATTATTTTTGTGCATGAAATATTGCACATTTTTATCTGACATAAAAATATGTCCTCCAGTAAATGAACAAAATATATTTGATTCAATTTAGAGCCCAATTGGACAAACTTTTAAACGTCATGAGAAACTGGGACAAAACACAGCTTTGGGAATTTGCATGGCTGCATGACTTAAACTGTGGATATTGTACACAATGGTTGTTTGAAAGTGGTATCTGATTGAAGATTAGCTCTCTGAGATGCTTCCAGCCTTGCATCTTACCACTGGTACTCTTCAGGTTCAGGCGATCCAGCAATCTTGCAGCAAAAGGCAGCTGTTTGACCCTCTCTCCTGGCTTTGGATTCTGGGTTCTTTTGTACATACAGTTTTTCTGGGGGAGATAAGTGGCAAGAGGATTTTCTCCATCAAGCAAGCATGCATATGCTTTGCATTTTTAATGAAAAGACTGTTAAATAATTTTTTTGCTGTGATTAGTGACCTACCAGGCTGTTCACAATTTTGTGTCCAGCTGATTTTCTTTAATACATAAAAATAAAAATGTGACTTTTATGTGAATGAATCAGAATTAATCAGGTTATTACTTGCTCGGTCCAGCTTCACATTAAGGACAGTGGTGTGTTCAGAGCTCAGTGGCACGGTGACTCTTTGAGGAGTGTGGTTCTGCATCTTGATCAGCAGTGTGGTGTTGCCATTGGGGCAGATTCCTGGCACACGGAAGTGTCCATTATGGTCAGTTAGTGTAAGAAGCTTGGGGCTTTTGTCAGAGAGGAGGATGGTTGCCCCAGGAGCTGGGAGACCCCCAGCACTGCGAACCGACCCAAGAATGGTGTGTTCCTGGCATGTGCAGGCATTACACTCTGCATTCACTTTCCCCATAGCACACTGCAGATCACAACCTACAGCAACAGCAGAGAGAGTTTCTCTTATTAGCATCATGATATGATTATTAGGCTTTAAATATATCAAGCCTGATTTTTTACTGTTTGGTTGGTCCAGTAATCCAAAAAGGAAAAGCTGTGCACAAAGCAGACCCTGCAATTTGATTAGAACATCTAATTATCAATTACATTTGAAAGAGGTGCATTACCTGGACATGTGGGTCCTTTGCACTGCTTGCCCTCTATGGTCGGACCATTGCATGGCCTGGATTGCGTCTTGCAGGTTCTGGAGCGCACATGAACTGCTAACTGACCACACTGTGCTGGGCAGGGGCTCCATTCTGACCATTGACCCCACACTCCATGAATTTCTGGCTGCTTGTCTGAAAACCAAGAGGGTTCTAATTAAATTGTGTTTTCCTGTTTTCATGACACTGAAGTTCTCAGCCAAGCCTGTTTAAAGAAATCTAGCTCTTTGTCAAGAACCTTCTTTATTTTTTGGTGCATTTGATTGAAACTGGAATTAAAGCTCGCTCTTCAGATGAGGGGCATCAAACTGCAGGCATCTGTAATGTAACAGAATTGGCAGCGTTCTCCTCTAAATGTGTTGAGTTGTGATGTGAGATGTGGTGGCGCTTCACATGTTTTGGGCGAAGCATGTGCTAGCCTTCACCCTCCTAGCTTGGTAGCATTATGTGACAAGGGGAGACCTAGCTAGTGGGCATAATTAACAAAGATAAAGTTGGGTAGGAAAAAGAGCTCACAAGCACCCTCTGTGCAACCTTGATTCAGGCTAGGCCTGACCAACAAGAAGATATTTAAGTGTGGGCTGTAATCATTTTTTAAATAATTTAATTTTAGTAGTCAAATAGTCATTGATCTGCATTATGCTTGTAATCTATACTATGCAACTTTAGGTCATTTTAGGACAAATTAGGTCATTTAAAAAAAACAAGAATGCCTGACAATATAATTATATAACGATAATTTCCAGAGTGTCGACTTTTTGTCGTCTCTGTTTGGCTGGCCTCCGGGTCTCCACCCATACTAGGAAAGCGATTGTGATTGTGTGTTTAAAAATGAGCTAAAATCACACAGTAAATTGCAGTGAATATACCAAAGCGGAATATTTAAAGTGATCAGCGGCTTTGTGTCCAACTGCCACAAAGTCAGTAACACTTCTCTGTGCATGCACAGCCTCTTTCACTGCCGGCTTGAGTCATTTGTTCATTAGCGAGGCAGTGTACACTTGGCTTACATGTCATGGTATCAGCTGGTACAGGAGTTTTGATATTGGTGAATTTTTATGAGTATGAGTAAATGAGCATGGTATCAGGCACTGGGTCGGTATTGATGCATCCCTACTTAACTTAGAACAGCTGATTTTTTTTTTTTACAGCATATTTTACATTATAAAACCCTTATTTGTCAGTGATCTGTTGCTATGCTATCACTTTGGGTGATGATTAGCTGATTTTAGTCGGCTTTTCACAATTTTGGCTTTCTCAGCACCAGAGGGAAACGGTAATGGCTCTCTATGCTCTCAGAGAGGGCCTAATATATTATATTATTATATAATTACATATTATATAATTATATGATTATATTATTTAAAACAATATTTTAAAATTGAGCAGTTCTAGTTTTATCTGATCATACTTTGACAATTAGCATCTAAACAAATACAAATCTAAGCAAATAAATTCTTCAAACCTCCATATTCAATTTGTATTGTAATGTGAGGGGTTAAATTAGAGAAGCCCCTCTGTCTCCCTCTATCAGAATTTTGCCATATCTGCTGTTGCTGGAAAGAATATTAGGCTACGTTTACACAGCAGGTAAAAGTGGCCCCGAATCCGATCTTTTCTTCTTATGTGACACAGATGTGTCATCTGTGTGACGGTGTGAACAGCAAAAAACGCAGAATCCGAGAACATGAACCAAAGAAGTGGCCGTGGCCGAATAACGTGCCGTTTTTCCGGCGAACTCGAACACACTGTGGGTGATGAGTCCAACTGTCAGTCATTAGAACTTCATAACCGCTTCTGTGATGCTGGTGAAGACGACACTGAAAGCTCCGGGAGCGACTGGCGTTCGCTGGCCATCATGACTGTTTACCTCTGAACGAGCCACGTGAAGCACTGTTCTTATGCGCATGCGGGTCAGTTTAGAAGCCGATCTGTTCAGATTGATGTCGCATACAGATCACATTTAAAAGATAATGTGAACAGCCAAACAAAAAAATCGGATTTGGTGAGAAAATCAGATTTGGGCCACTTTTACCTGCTGTGTAAACGTAGCCTTAGTGATTGGTGGTCCAGCTGTAAAGGGCCAAGCAATAGTAATTCAATGAAAAACCAATTTCATTGACAGTAAAACTGTCCAGTCGTATCCTCTACAGGGTGGGCTTTGTTATCGCTAACTTTATGATAAGTTCCGCCCGTTATGGAGACGCACCGACTCTGGGGACACGAAACTAGCGAAAAAAGCTAGCTAGGTTAGCCGAGAGTAGCGTCACCGCTACTGAGGAGGACGTCGCTGTGAGTTTATTATCTATACCGTTTTCTAGATTAACTTTAAATGAAAAGTTGGAGTTAATCGGCAGTGACGACCTACGTTACACCAGAGCTTAATTTGGTGCAAAAAAGGCTTTTGAGAGACATTTCAGCTCCAGCAGTTACACCACGGTATGATACCCTGGATGACAGGATCGACCACGGAGCAGAAGCTCTGTTGCTGGGACCCCTTGCTGTTGGGCGCGGAGAGGGGGTCTCGGGTCAGAGAGGGATTTTGTGATTTAGGAAGTTCATCAAAGTCAGACCATCACCACCAGAACGCTCGAGAAGCGACTGTTGATTATTTTAAAAGTAAAGGATCAGCTGCATGACCCCTCCATCAACCACTCCATCCAAACGGACAGGAGGATGGACTTCGGTATGTCGTGACTTCGTTCTCAATGCCCTGATCAGAGGTGGGTCATTTAGTATCTTACAGGCCGCCGTGCCCGCTGACTTTATTCTGTCCGCCGCTGAAACTGTTCGAGTAACGTGAAGGTTTATTTGGGAAAACGGCCATTATGTGGAATTAGCGGTCATTTTTGTGACGCTGGTGTGTCTGACTCTCATGGCTGCTTGGCTGTGTGAGCTGTCGTGATGTGAAGCCTTGTATGAAATGCTGTTGGTTTTTTGTGGGACTGTCAGGCGTTTTGTGAGGTGCACACAGAGTTTGTATGATGAAGCGATTATTTGTGGGCAGGATTTGTATTTTGCTTAAGAAATGAGCTACTTTGTTTAGATGATAATCCTCTCTGTGCTGTTTGCTCGTTGAATTTCTAGGGCTGAACACGGTTCGCTGCTGCTTGGCACAGTTTTAGACAAAACAATTAATGAGTGTGTACACATGCACTCAATAATCCGATCATAATCGGATTTCTGCAGTTATCCGATTATTCAAATGGTCATGTAAACACCATATTCCGAGCTGGATTTTAGGTCAGTAATCTCAGTGTGTGTAAACTCGTACTCCGATTTCTATAGGATTTCTCAGTCTCAGGCTGCGCATGCGCGAGGACAGACGGTGGATGTCGCGAGATAGCAGCAAAACACTTTTGGAGCGGCGCTGAAACCAAACACGAAATAAAGGGTTTAAATATTCCTCATCTTCTAGATGATGTATGTTCATGTTTTCAGGTGAAGTGGCGCGATGTTTTAAAAAAAAAAAACGCGGCATGAAGTTTGAGTTTTACATTACGTTTACGTCACGTCGTCTTCTGTGAGTTTATTGGCTGGTTGCAAAGCAGAAATCCGATTATTGTCTGACTCATGCAGACCCGGAGTTTCTCATGATCTCATTACAGATTACTCAAGTGCATGTAAACGTGTTGATCGGATTACTGACAAAATCTCACTTTCTGCAGTTACTGGATTATTAAGTGCGTATGAACTCACTCACCGAGTGCGTTTACATGCACTTAACATCGCGCGACTTTACCTGGAAGAAAGAACGTACATCATTTAGAAGATGGTTTGCTGCCATCTACCGACCTCCACTGTCTGTTCTCGCACATGCACAGACTGAGAAATCCGATAGAAATCAGAGTATGGGTTTACATGTCCTGAGAAATCTGATTACTGAGCTAAAATTCAGCTCTCTTTATTGGACTTCTTAATCGGATTTCTAGATCGGAGTATAGTGTTTACATGACCATTTGAATAATCGGATAACTGCAGAAATCCGATTATGAACGGATTATTGAGTGCATGTATACGCATTCAATATTGCGGCTTGTGTTGGGTTCGGACAAAATTTTGTCGAGCTCGGGCCAGCTTAGGACTCAACTTGGTCATGTGTTTTGCTGTGGGTCAGGCTTTGACATTAAGTTCTTGGGCTGTGTTTGGGTTCAGCCCACAATTTTAGGTCCGATTAAAGCTCTACACCTGGACCGCAGGACTTGAAGTGCTTTTTAGGACAGCTCTGCAGAGCTGTGGCCTGGAAAGAACCCTGTTTAACACCCTTGCAATAATCTAGACATAGTACAGACTGATACTTTTTAGTTACCCTTTTAATGAACCAGAAACTAAAACCATATGGTGATATCTATGCAAAATTTGCTAAAACATAATTATACATAAATGAACATATCATACAGTACCTCTTGGGCAGAGAAACCGAACTGCGTAATTAGAGCAGTTCTTTCCTGCAGGCTGCTCTGCATTGACACACCAGAATCCCAAGGCAGGGTCAGCGTGCACCCTCTCTCCAGTCCTGCGTGCTGGGATCCAGTCTGTAGTACGAGCGTCCAGGGCCTGTGGAGAGCTGCACACACGTGCTCGATAATAGAAACGAATGGCATCCAGCTGCTCATAGTCACCCCTTCCTCCAGGGTGATCGATGTTAAACCATGTTGTCCACTCATAGTCATCTGTAAAGAGGGATAGAAACGTCCTTGTTTAGACAGGCCATTGAATGTAAGGCTTTTTTGCATGAATTGCAGTTGATCTTTTAAAACCTATGCATTATTTTTTGATGTTGCATTTTGGAGCACAATTGCATTTCAGCCTATCAGATGTGATCACAAAGATCACTCATTTGTCTAAACGTAAGAGTTAACATGGAAAATTACAGGCAGCCGTCTATGTGAGTAAGCCTTAATGATAATGAGTGAATGTTGTTTTGATTATGCCCTGTTGTGCATGAATACAAGGTCACCTTCATTATAGAACACAGCTGGATCGCGGCTCACAGATCTTCCATTGTCTGCTCTCTGTGGTCCTATGGAGAAATGAGGCTTTTTAGAGAAGGAGTCAAGAAGTTGACCTTTTCTTTGTACGTTTTCAGGTCATAAAGTTCTTATAATGTGTGGACTAAAATAGAATCATCTATACTTTGTTGACTCCCATTACTTTCTGAAATGCTCATTATTTACCCAGAAAATGACTTTGAAAATGTACCTCATTTTTTTCAAGGCACCGCTGGCCAATTTACATCTAATTTAGTGCCTAAAAAGCATTTCCAGCGAACAATAACCATTATGCTGTTTTTATCCGTTGATTATAAAGCAATCATGCTTATGTTTATGTTGAAATTAGCTTATACTGTGATGTGGGAAATGTTGTGTACCAACAGTATGTTTCAGGTCTCTGAAAACCTAACAAATGACGTAAATATTGCGATTAGAAAACAACAGAGCTGCAAAGTTCCTCCTCATCTGTTAGCCATTAGACTCTGTGCTGTGGTCTGTTCTTACTATTGGAGATTGACAAATTTTCATTTTTTTATTTTAAAAGCATTATATCACAATATATGGTAATGCGTGCTGGTAAACTAGATCTACAGCAAACCGTTTCTCAAGTTTCTTATGCTTCCCCAAACTACCTCGCCTAGCCCTGGGGTTCGTCAGAGGTAACCCGTGCTACTGGGCCTGGCACAAACACTGAAGTGTTACCAGTTGCTGACAGGTGGCTCCACAGCCTCTGGCTTACATGCATAACTTCCAATCAACCTCTGGATGTAAGCAAGGAAATACAACAATGAGGCTATTTGTCTGCTAGTGGCTTTACTTAACTGGGATGAGTGAAATTTCATGGGGTCAGATGACCACAAGGCAGCTGTTAATTTCCTACTAGGACTCCTGCTTTCAGCACAGAGAACTTCATGTTAAAAAACTACAAGCTTGCCAAAAGCTAATGCTTTATAACAACACACTTTCCTCCCAGAATGGTTTTCTCATGAAGTCCTTGAAAAATGTACATTATTCAATAATAGGGTGTAAAATGCATCAGTGAAGAATAGCTAAAGCTCTATTTAATGTAAAAAAGGCCTAATGTATTTTTAATTGTATGTATTCCACTATTGTATAAATAGTTCTTCCATTCACATAACGCAGTGCTCAGAGATTTACACTCCTATTCAGTAGTAATAAATCAGAGACTGGGCTAGAAGGTCCAAGGATGACCGCTGTCTTGGTTCATGCCAGACCACATAGACTGCATTTTGACCACTGGATGAGAGGCAGAGAACTTGGCAGAAGGTGTTTTTTTCCAAATATAGTGCAAAAGAAAGGGCAAGGGAAACAAACCTTGAGAGAAGGTGCCAGTAATTCCACAGAGAACAAGAAGAAAGGCCCACGTTAATGGGTAGCCCATCCTGGCTCTGTACTAGTGACCTTTGGCCTCTGGTATCGACCCTTTGCTCTTTTCACGCTAATTATAGTCCAGCCACAGAACTCCTGTAGGTCAGAGAGAAGCCAAAAGCACTCATGAACTGGAAAATAGTTACTGTCTTAGTTACTTTGACTGAAAAAAAGCAAAAGCCTACACTGTTCAAACAGACCTGTAAGATTGCAGTGTTATAATCAAAGGTTCCTAAGTGGCTACTGGAAGACTTTAATTGGTATAGAACCTTTATGTTATGTGGATTGAAAGGTTTTCACAAAAATGGTTTTCTATTGAAAGATTATTTAAGGAAAAAAAAGTGGTTCTTCAGCCTTTCAGACTCTGCTTGGTTTCTAGGTTAGATTTAGGCAAAGGGTTTGTAAGTAGAGCTCAGACAGGGCAAAATCAGCTATAGAACTGAAGCACGATTTAGATTTGCTCTCAGATATCACATCTGTGAGAGCCATCAGTGTGCGTCAGGGGAGCGTAAAAATGTTTCTACATCAACAACAAAAAAAAAACAGACTGACTTACACATATTCCATATGTACCAGATGGAGCAGACACACACTGATAGACCACCATTTCATTTTCACAGAATTTTCATTCTGTTAATAAAAGTCAGATCTATATAGCTGACTCTGCATTGAAACACTAAATCATATCGCTATCAGTGTTTCTCCAAACTGGAAACTTTACAGAAGAAGTCAAACATTTTAATGCAAGTAAACGTATAGAGAAAATGATGTATTTGTGTTATATAATTTTGGACCATTTCTGTTGATGTAATGTATGAAAGGCCAGCTGCTGTTCTCAAATGATGCAGAAAAATAAAAGCCAAAAAAATGGATATACACAGTTTTGCTATGACAGCAACAACATATGGTAGTTCAGGACTGGGAGTTACTGAACTATTTTAACAATACATGGACATGTTGTTTTTTTGTATGTGAAAAATATTTCCAATATGTTTTTAAAACATTCATTTAAAAATAGACAATGCTGATCAAAAACATATTGTTGGTCATTTTCATACATTGCAAAAGGTGTCAGACAAATTCAGTTTGCATATCAAGACATTCTAACAAAACCTTTACACTCTAATCAATGATAAATGGATTAATAGAAAGGTTCTGAAATTACTTCAAAACAATACATTACGTTAATGTATATTAAAGATAAGGAAACTTTGCCTGTAAAGTCACTGTAAAAGAAAGTTTGTCATGACAGCATGTTATATACATATCATTGCTGTCTTTTTTTTGTTTTTGACTCGCATAATTCAAAAATTCAAGTTACTCTTTGTGTTGTTTTTATAATGTCATGATAAGCCGGTCAATGGAAATTAGTCTAAAATTGCTTGGAAAAAAGCTTGTTACATTAACTTTCTGTACAAGAATGTTGTGTTTTTTTTTTGTTTTTTTTTTAAGAATGTTTTTTTCTTCTCCTGTATAGTTGCAATTTTGGAGATACAAACTTTAATTCTGACAGCAACAATATATCTTGCTGTATAGGCATATAAAGAGAAAAAAGGCAAATATCACTGCGATTTGTATTATTGTTGATAATTAGTGAATGTGAAGTTCTCAATCTTACCCAAGTCAGAGTCTTCTAGAGAGGTGAAGAAGGCTTTATGTCTGCTCTGCAGAAAGCATGCAGAGTGTGTGAGAGTGTGTGTGTGTGCTCTTATATAGCTCTGTCGTGGGGTCGGCTCCATGCCACTGTCAGGAAACCAGATGACAGCATTAGGAAACCACAGAAATGAGCCCACCTCTCTGTTTTAAGACTGGGCTGTTAGAGTACTGGACTGCATGTTCTTGAGCAGAGCTTCAGTAGGAGTACGGGGCTACATCTTCTCCAGCAGGGTTGAGTTTCACTGTGAGGTTGCGTGTTCTTGAGTTATGTTTGAGCACTGAAACTTGATGCACTGAATTTACTTGATTCAAATATCACATAATTTTCCACATGAATAAAACATATTACATCAACGCTATTATTGTTGAAAGAAGAAACTTGAAGACTGTATTGAAAATATTTTATTCATGTGGATGACGTTTGAATCAGGAAAATTCAGTGGATCACCATTTTTACTGTACACTGTAAAAAAGCTGCACTATGTAAGAATTAGTGAGTTGGAGCCCTCTCTGGTGGAAATGTGTAATTGCAAGCAACGTGCGGAAGAACATTTTGCAACGTCAGTGGCGCTTCTGAATTTGATTACCCTTCTTTCTGGGGAACTAAGAGTACTGAATCTGGACATATTGGTGGAGCTACAAATAGTGCACACCCCCAAAAAAGATGGTTCTTCAAGAGTTCTTTAGTAAAGGCAATTGTTCTATTTAGAACCATGAGTTCTGTTTGAAACCATTTCATGCTTAAATGGTTCTTTGCATGGTGAAATCGTTCTACAGCTTGACGAATATGTTGTGTAAAGCACCAAATAGGGTTCCTCTATTGTTATGATGTCAAGCTTGTACCAATAGATGAACCCTTTGTGGTGCTATAGAGAGCCATGTTCAAAAATGTTCTATATAGAACCACATACAACACCTTCTGCATTAGTCTGAAGAACCATTTCACCATGCAAAGAACCATTTAAGCATGAAATGATTTTATGTAGAACTCATGGTTCTAAATAGAACCACTGCCTTTACTAAAGAACCCTTGAAGAACATAATCAGTCAGACGAGTGCCATTTCTAAAAAGCTCTAGCTAGCTAGACTCGCTTTCTGTTATTCTTCACAAAAATTCTAACAGTGAGTAAAAGGAAAATCAGCACTTGAAGCTCCATTGTTGCTACTGTTGCTAGTGTCATGTGAGAAATCAGGTGACCACACAACCTCCAGAGGACCCCACCTCCTTTTACAGTTTGGAAACTGACCTGGACACAGGTACTTACAGGTACTCACTAGCATTAATTGGCATTATTGTAGAGTTTTTTTCCTCAGTTTTTTCCTCAGTTTTTGACTGAGTTTTGACATTTATGGCTCAAACTTCAAGGCCTAGCTCTAATAGGCACAATATGCCACTGATGTTAGTTGTCCATTCTCTTGCGAATATTAGGTAAGCAATAAGCAGCCACACACACAAACACACACAGGTAATTAGCTTAATGATTCACAGTTGTTTCAACTGTACAGCAAGAAATTTATTGGTGTTTCAGTCCATGTGCTGTCAGGATGACGTGGTGTTATGCAACGTCAACAAAGAAAAGCTATTTCTCTGAAGCTGCTCCCATGCACAATTTAGATTAGCGGTCAGGATAACAGTAATTGATTAGAAACTCCACATGATGGTGGTTAACATTTGTTGATGGGGCCCTTTATCATGTCTCATTCATCTTGTCCTTTGGATTTGTTGATAATCAGTGTGTCCATGAATTGCCACAGCAGAAAGCCAATACCAACACACTGCCATATGACTGCAGTGCAAGCTGTAAACGGCCCTGGTGTTCCAACAATTGCTATTGTTTCCCAGCCATGAACTCATGGCTACATAATACAGTCCTGCTAGCAACAAAAAATTGAGAATCCATTATGTTCACAGTTGACAAGCCTTTTTAAAAATGTATGTATTTATTTATGTATTTATCAAACAATTTTTTTCCATTTTAGAAATAATTCCTCAAGTAAAATTATTCAGCACATATACACTATATGGCCAAACGCATGTAGACACCTTTCTATCACACTTATGTAAGCTTGTTGTACATACCATTTCAGAATTATGAGCATTTTGGAGTGTGATTGTGGGAAGGAGTGCCCATTCGGTCAAAAGAGCATTTGTAAGGTCAGGCACTGTTGCTGGACAAGATGGCGTGTCTCGCAATCAATGTTTCAAGTCTTCACAAAGGTATTCAGAGGAGTTAGGGTCAAGGCTCTCTTAAATCATATCTTTATGATGCAGAGGGGTGTTATGCTGGAACAGAAAAGGACCTTCCCCAACCTGTTGCCACAAAGTTTGAAGTATAATTATCCAAAATGTATTTATATGCTGTAGCTTTAACATCACCCTTCACTGGAACTAAGGGGCTCAAATTCTAAAAACACAGACCGTTATTTACTGTTGGCATTATGCATTCTTTACTTTACTGTTGGCATTATGCATTCTGGTAGGTAGTGTTCTCCTGGTATCAGGCTGCCAGATAATGCAGTGAGATTCACCACTCCAGAGAAAATGTTTCCACTGCTCCAGAGTCCAGTGGCTACATGCTTTACACCGCTCCAGCCAACACTTGGCATTTCGCATAGAGATCTTAGGCTTGTGTGCAGCTCTCTCAGCTATGGAAACCCGTTTCATTAAGGTCCTGTCTCACAGTTTGGAACTTTGCAGGGAGTGATGCAACATAGGATAGGCAATTTTTATATGCTATGTGTTTCAGCACTCAGCAGTCCCGCTCTGTGAGTTTGCATGGTCTACCATTTTGTGGCTGATCTGTTGTTCTAGACACTTCCATTTCACAATAATAGCACTAACAGTTGACTGGGGCAGATCTAGCACAGCAGAAATTCCACAAACTGACTTGTGGCAAAGTGGCAAAGTCACTGAGCTCTTCAATACGACCCATTCTACTGCAAGTGTTTGTCTACAAAGGCTGTGTGCTTGATTTTATACACCTGTTAGCAATGGGTGTGTCTGAAACACCTGGACTCATTAATTAGAAGCAGTGGCTTTTGGCCATATAGTGCATCTCCAGAATATGAAAACTAGAAACTAGATTCAAATATCTAGTCATGAAGAATTGATGAGTGCCTCAACATGCTTGGAATGCTAATCATGTGCAGCACAACTAGAATCAATTTCTGCAAATTTTAGTTCTTTTTGCAGAAAAGTGACCAACATCACACAGTGACTAAACAAACAGCTGAATATATGTATTACATCAACTCTCAGTTTCTCCTGTATGTTTTAACCAAATCATTGCTCCTACCTGTCCATAATCGTTATGTAGCCTTTCCTTTCATTTATTCCTTTTCCATCGCTCCAGTCTTACATAAACAGCTGTTTCTGTTCCATAGATTCCATTTAATTGTATTAAATTAATCATTTAACTATTTATTTACCCATTTATTTTCAGCTGAAATCTATATACACTGAATCAGTTGATAAATACATTGATTTTATTTCATTCCCCTCTCAGTCTTCGTTTCCGTGCCTGTCTCTTTTGCTGTCTAACTTCTCTGTCCTCACGGATTACTATAAACGGCCATTGTGTGTTTTCCAACCATGAACTCATCGGCTACATTACACACTCTTGCTAGCAACAAAAAATGTCATCAAATTCACAGCCTGTCCTCACGGATTACTGAAAAAGCATACATTAAAAATACTTTATGAAAGTCTGTCTCTGCCAAACCACAGCTAACGGCAAGGAGAATACAGTTAACCAGAAAACAGCCAAGTGTACCTGCTGATTTCTGAATTATATTACAGGATACTGTGCCATCAGTTTGCTAGTTAACAGTGAACTTTCCCATGCTGGCTGTAGTATGTACAGTAGTACAAGTTTAAACTGCCATTAATTTCTCATCTAATCGCTAATACAGCCAACTACAGAGCCTGTAGCCTAAGGTGAGCAGTTACTGGAACCATGCTGATTTAGCTATCACTGAGTGATCCAACTAAACAATAAGATGGGGGTTACATTTTACAATCATAATCTGATAATTATCCTAATAAACTCACAGTTTGTCATAGCTATATTGTATGTCAGCATATAGTATGTTTGCTGTAACATCACATCTCAATAAGTTGATGTTGCTCTGGGTAGCATTAGTTCAGTGTACAGAGATAAACACAGCAGGAAGTTCAGTCTGTGGCTGAACCACAGCTGTTTTGAGGTCAGCTGAAAACCAGTCACTGCTGATTGTATAGTCTCATTATAAAATGCTTCAGAAACTTCTGCGAACCTCAGTGTCCTCATACTAGCTATGGACATAACAGGCACTTACAGTAAACCGAAGGCCTGAGGCAATTGCGGATAGCAGTGATTGCTAAGCAATGATTGAAAGGCTGAGTAGAAGTGTGGCTTAGAGCATAATGATTTTATTGTGCATAACACAGCGACAGCATGTGTAGAAAACAAATCACATGTCAAACATGCGGTTTAAAAAATATAATTTTCCCACTTTAGTGCTGTCACTGACCAGAATGCGAGGAACCCTACCATCTGACATCCAGATGACACATTCAGTTGGAAAACAAGAACTTTTCTTCTAAACAAGTTTAGAAGTTCCTCGAAGTTTCTCATGAGTGATAATAAAAACACTCTGTAATTTGATATGAATTTTCCTTCTGTGGGAAACGTTGATCGATGCCACGTTTGTGTTCAGAAGTAAAAGAGTTTGGTCATTGCTTGATAGAAAAAAAGAAAAACGCAGCACTTTATTTTTGAGAGTCTCATGTAGATGCTTTGTAGGTGCTCATCTTGTCTTCAACCAAACTGTAAACTAAATATCTTTTAAATGCAACTGAACTTATATAGATAGATTTTATTAAATGTAACCATAAACCTAATCCTAACTTGGTATAAGATAATCTGCTTTCATAGGGAAAGTCAAAGGAAAATAAGTAAAATTAGAGGTTCCAGAACTGAAGTTCCAAAAATTAATCAAAATATATTGAGAGATACGGCCATTAAGGTAATAATAACAACTTTATAAGACGTGTTAGACCATAAGTAGTACTTAAA